GAAGGAGGTTGTTGTTGGTTGAGGTCAGTTTTTTTTTCCATGTGGTTAGTTCTTGTTAATAGCCGGCAAGTGATGCGCTACCTGTACAGCACTATACTTCCTTGCTGCTCCTTCACTCATGATACCCTTGTGATATCTCCGTCGTTCCTGCCCTACTAGGTTACCGCCGTTGAGCCTTCCTTCCTCCGGGAGCTGACAGGAACCACTGCGCCCCTGGTAGGTGATTGGCCCGGAGGGGTGTTCACCTCTAGCTATTCGCATCTGCCACTTGAAGATCCGGAGAAAGGTTGACGTTGACTCGGCAGTAGTAGATAATGCGGCGCTTGTGGCGCACGCGGGAGATATTCTCCCTTCACCCCATCTGACCTCCGGTGGAGGTGACATCGGGAGAGAAAGATGAAGTTGGGTGTGCTCTGCGGACTGCTACTGCTACGATGCCATACGATACGACACCCCTCCTATCCATGTCTCACCCCGATCTCCAACACCCAACGCTTTGTAGGCATGCAGGTCGGCGGGCGATGTGCAGTGGGGCGAGGTAAGTGATCGTGCATGATCTCCCGGCGAAGGGTGTCTCGGATACGCCTAGCCGGAGCACGCAGTGCTACTTTTCCCTTGGAGTGAAGGAGATATCGGTAAGGTAACAGAGTGGGAGGTGGGGCCCCACACATGCGTTCTCCGGGGGCGGAGGAAGGTTTGGACTTGAGATTGCCGTGCATGAGAACTAACCACTTCCACCGGGTGATGGACTACAAGAGCAAACTCCCCGGGACCTCGCGGCAGCTTGAGGCGATTTCCTCCCTTTGTAGCTGATCTGAAACCTATATCTTGGAGACAAACGGCTCCTTCTACTGTACAAACCTGGCAGATCCACTCTTGGCATTTGAAGACGATTTTTAGACCACGGGGCCGAACGCCTCTACCGGTATTCCGTTTTTCCCTTCCATCCATTATTCCTTCCACCCCCCCCGTAGTATGCTCCGTTGTCTCCGGCCGGTTTGGGGAGGTTTACTTCACCCTTTCCGGTGGGTATGGACTACGAATGATACGCAATGATGGTGCACTCCGAACTTCTCCGGGGGTATTATGCATTCTCGACCTTTATATGACTCTAAAAGCTAGGAAATCAGCTCTCAATATCGGTCACGGCAACCAAAAATTACCCAACAAAAAAGGGTTGGCCACAAGCAACAACCGACACCTCCAATCGAAGTTGAGACCCTATGAAGTGATTTGCTCTATGGCTGTCTACATCCTATCAGATTAAACAACCAAGCAGCATGCGGCTGGGGCAGGAATATTGGTTCGGGTGCGGGGGCATTTTGTATGGTGGGCGAGGGCGGGCGGGCGCATATGGCAGGAATGGTCTGAAGGTGCAAATATGGGTGATATTCAATGAGCGAGAGGCTTTAGGGATATAGGAACTTCACAATTATTAGGGGTTAAAATAGGAGGGTCGTTTTTTTTGTTTCGGACAAAAATTCTTTCGTTAAGCATGTGCGATTTGTGCTATCGTCGCACCTATCACACTAGATTTCTTATGTCCCGATGAATTGCTCTACCCAAGTTCCGGATTCTCGCAGGAAAGAAGAGAAAAAAGCCATGAATTGTCGCTTGGCTGTTGGGCTAAAGATGCACGGAGGTTCGAGGAAACCACACCTAAATTTATATTCGTTCAATTTTGAGAACTCCGGTATCATACCTTGGAACCACTCCCCAAAGCCCCATCCACCAAGACCTCGCATGACCCGATACGATCTACAAGAGAGGCCAAAGGGTACACTACATACAAACTTTGATCTCAAAGATATGGATTATTTTGTCTTTGAATAGACACGTAGCGGTAAAATTTGGATAAATCAAAGAGTGTCCCTTACATGCACCTCTATGTGAAGTAAAAAGAAAGGTCGCTCGCCGCAAGGGAAAATGGCTAGGAAGGAATGAGTCCTTCAAACCACTCACAAATGGTTTGAGGGCTTCGGAAAAGATATCGGTTTAGACCTGGGTTTTTACCTTTCAAATTGCCACCACTAGGCAGTTATCACTGCCTATCACTCGGCAATTCCGTAGTCGGGCGTGACTGGAGGAAGAGGAAGGAGGTTTGATTGGCAATCAACATGTATAGGAGCCGGTTTACATCCTCGATCAGGAAAGGAGGAACAGTAAAAGAAGAGATGACCAAAAGAAGGCCAAGATCGGTGATCTATGGGAAAGCACTGGTGGGAAACGAAAGAAACCAAAAGGAGAAGAGATTGCGGATAGTGAGAAAGCGGCATATCATAGTTGAATAATAACTTATATGGCCGTGAAGTTGAGGGAAGGGTGGAGAAGAGATGAGACAATAGCCCAAGGACAAAAGGAGTGATTGGGGAAAGTCCGGTATCATAGTGAAAAAAATAACCAGTTGCCAAAGGTACTGTAAGGCTCAAAATCCGGTTTGTGGATTTTGAAGTCCCATTAGTTAGTTTTCAGTTTGACTTAGAGAGGGATGTTGTTTGATTGGGGTTTTGATGGACTCAGAGCAATGGTGATAGGGTATGTTCGAAGGAGGAAGGGAAAAGTTTTCTTTCTGTATGTAGGGAGATTTTCTTCACTTGTCTTCAGAACCTAGTTAATAGCAACCAGGGCAAACGAACATTGAACACCACGAAATACAAATCGAACCAAATAAGTCTTAGTGTGCAAGTGAAGTACACTGAGTGATAAGACTTTTCCTTGAGAGTTCAAGGACCAATTGATACGAATCTCGTGAATTGATTTTCTTGTCTTTTCTTAGTTTGTCTTTCTTTTGAACCTACCGATTTCTGCTTTCTCATATTCCTTTTCCCGGCCTAAATTTTCTTTCCTCAGTACTAGGATGTACCACAGAGAATCACTAAACCCAGCAAGGTCTCGATAGCACGGTATGAGAGAATAACCATTGGGGTCTGCCCCGCTTGTTAAACCCAATTCGCATACTTTATCCTTACAAAATTTTGGATAGAAGGTATAAACCACCGCGTCCCACTCACCCCCGGTTCATTCATTGCATCGGCCATGAAAGTTGGAACTTTTAACTTATAAGACCCATCTTGCCATCTTCCCCTCCAGGATTTCATATGGTCCTCCCCACAGATAAATAAATAACGGCCCCCGACCAATACGGCCAAACCGTCCCACCCCTAAATTCCATTATACAGCGCACCTCCCCACCTTCCCCAGCCATCTGTGTAGCACTCACGTCATCACACAAACTCACTCGTAACTCATACCTCACGCCCCCGTTATTGCAACGATAAACAGTAACGCCAACAATAAGAAATTTCAATCCGAAGGGAAACAAAATACAAAGACAAACAAACCATAATTCTCAGTTCCAATAGAGTCGGTGAGAATTGCCTGAACCCTTTCTTTGCACTGCTTTGGCACTAGCGGAGTGTTAGGCTCGAGCTATGATAGCGGATCGCACAATTGATAGGTTCGATCCATGGATTGTTTTTTTTATTTTTATATTATGATATAACATGGGCATTTCAATCCACCGCCAGTAGAAGAGCGATATTCAAGAAAGCAATGTCAGTAATTTGAAGCACGTACCCCAAGCTCCTTCTAAAGAGCAAAGACCATGGAAAATCACCTCTGCTGAGAGAGAAATGTTCTGAACGGGCCTGAAATAGATCACCTCTTGTCCTATTCAATAATTACATATGCAAAGAAAACTAAACAGCGGAGTACGACTGCACCCCGCGCCCCACTCCAACGGGACAATTATATAACCGCAAGCCTCCGGCAAGGATTTTCGTAGTATTGCTTGTGCGCTCTCCCGGAATACTGTAAGTTACAGGGCACTCTCACCAATCGTGTTAGTAACCTTTCCGCTCACCATTCACATTCTCTAAAGGCTACGATCCACTCGTGTATTTTCTCCCGCCCAAACTATCGAATGGCAGAGAAGGGAGATGGGCGAAACTTGGTTGGATTTCTCAGGTGCGAACCTTCTACTATAACTGAGTGCAAACCCAGTGTTGTGCGAGGTCCAGTTTACCCTCATTACACAAACTTGCATACCCTGGATTCCGCCGACACGCCCTCAACAATTTACCCTTCTGTTCTACAGATGTATGATATTGTATCACAGTACAGGTAATTCTACAGCCAGCACTCGGCATATAAATGCTACGTGGCTGACTTGACATACACGCTTGTGCCATATAACATATCTCTCGGGACTTCAGGGGCTCAATCCAGCGTCGAGTAAATGGCCGGTATGAGTTCTGGAGAGTTTAACAGGTAACGGTTCAATGTGCCGGCATACAGCCTAGCATACACTGTTCTTGCGGTATGTTTGTCCTCGCAACGCAATCATGTACCTATATCGTGGGGGGGGGAGGGCTTGAAGATCGTGAGGTGCGAATTGGGATACTTACCAACTCCCACACTCTCTCACGCTCTCTAGAAATAAGAGCGGAATCGTGTGCTTATTAAGTAGATAAAGGAAGGATGAAACAACCAAACCACATTGATACTCGGGTGCAATAAGCCTGCTAACCTCTCTTATATCATAATACCTTACCGTCCGCGAACCCTCCCTTGGTTCCGCTTTTTATGTGCACGACCTATCACTCGATATATCCGCAAAGCGTAATCGTGTACGGTCGGATAGACGGCAATGCCAGCTTTTACTAACACCTTATTTGGAATTGATATCCGGTGTTCATGTAGAAAAAATTGAGATCCCATAATAGGGAACCATTTCTCCCTACCAACAACCAATTTGAAGAAAGAGCCTGCAATCTTCTCCCCGGTTTTCATAGAATAAGATCCTCCACCCCATTCTGAAAGTTGAGAGAGATATTGGCCTTAAATTGGCTCAAGATTAGTAGTGCAGCTGTGGGATTAGGACTTTGTGTGCGGTTGTGCGGCTGTGGGTGATATTTTGGGCACTAAGGCTATCGCAAGAAGGTCTACATGAAGGGCACAACTGCCCCGTGCTCCGGTCATGAGTTAGGATACCTATTCAGCAAGCAAAATGCCAATGAAAAGTTACTAACTTCACATCAGAACCACATCATTCCCTCATGGAAAAAACTAAAATACATTTCTGCCATCAATCCCATTGCAGTCTCAGAAGCCCAACTACACAAAGGAAAACTAAAGAAAATCGCCATCCCCAAAAGACGAAAATGGATTCGGTGGCCCTCCACCAAACCCTCGCGGACCCCCAGTTCCACTAGGCCCAAACGGTCCTCTAGGTCCCCGCAAACCTCCCTGCGGAGCATCGCCGGGGCCAACTGGATCGTATCGCGCCCCAGGCGGAAACCTAACAAACACTAGTCAGCACTGCACCCATAACTACGAACCAAGGTTAAATAGACAAAGGAATACCTTGGATCGGGAATTCCCCCACTGCCACCGCCGAACATTGGATGGTCTGGTCCCGGGTGCATTCCGCTCGGTCCAGACCCACCCCATCCAGGACCCTGGCCAAAGAATGGACCGACGAGCGGGGGGTTCCGGCCAAGGCCTGGAGGGTTCAAGTCGTCTTCCCCGATACTCAATGGGTTTCGGCCCCCGGGGCCCATGGCATATCCACCGCTGCCGCGCGGTGGTTGGAGAATTTCATGCTCATCGTCGAACCCTGGAGGTTGCTCGCCACCCGCTGGGATAGGAGACCGGCCGGGCTGCGGGCCGAAGCCCGAACCGCCGTATGGTCTTGGGAAACTTGGTTGGTCAAACTCGTCTGACCGCCGCCTGGGTCGCTGTTCCTCTTGACGGGTTGAGCTTCCCCCGCTGCGGTCTTCTTCGTAGCCTGGTTTGTGCAATCCTGGAACCAACTTCTGCACCATATTAATCTTGACCAAGTTGGCCAGGTCCTGCGCTCTGCTTGCGCTGATAAACCCGTCTTCCAGCTTCGCTACGCCATTTCCAGCGGAGTACGGGTAGAAGCTCTCGCTAAGAAAGTCCTTTACGACAATGTCGAAAGAGGTAGTCTTATCGTCGCCGATTCCCAAACCCATTACTACAGCTTTGTTCCCTAGACGGTTCACCTTTATCAGGTATTGTAAAGACGATTGTGAGTGCGCATATCGGAAGCCGTAGCTACCAGGAGAGCTGTTCCAGCTTTGTGGAAGTGGTTTTGGATCCGAGCCCTCGATGGGTGTTTCTATAATAGATTATTAGATGACTGTAAGAGGATAGTAATAATTGAGCAGTCCAACAGTACCCAGGCTGTCATCCTCACCCAACCCCACCAGTCGAAACCCCACTGACAGCATACACGCGTGGACGAATATCGCAACAGCATCATAGGGTGATTTCAGAGAAGGTACCGTCCCAGGACCTTGCGGAAAGCTCGCCTTTACGATATTCAGAACAGTAGGCGGGCTAAAGGGAATCTCAGCCATGATGAAATATGAATCTGGGTTAACAAAGCCTGTGGTGATGATTGGATTTTCTTTCGGGTGAAGCCAGACGAAACAATGACGATGGCTTGGGCTAGTTATGCCTGGGGATGGATAAACCTAAGGGTGCGGGGATGATTGTGTCATACCGGCAGACCCCAATAAACGCACGGTGGGAGGGAGGGTCAGAACGAGTGATTGCCAAGACTCCCCTCGATAGACTAATTGATGAGGCTCATCTTGAGCCACCCCTTCTGTGATACCACAGTTGCGATGTGTGTTCTCCGCGGATTGGTGGCACAGCTCATCGGTGCGTACGGTAGTTGTGCATTTTGCACCAAAATGTCATCTCTTGCCACTCTACTCCTATCGGTACCATCACTACCTTGCTCGCACTGCAGAATACAATCCCGTAAACGATAGTCTACCGTACCAGTACGAGTACTACTCTACCTAATTATTACAAAACTCTGCAGGAAGGCTCATCCACTACGAGCAACATATTGAAATCTTGGATGTTTTCATGCAGATTAGGTTTATGCGCGAACATCCGAAATAAACAGTTTTCTAATTAAGTACCGTAGCTTCTTCTATGAGTGCAAATACAAATCCTATATATATATTTCCAACATACCCCGAAATTTAGAGACCTACACTAGATGATCACCCGCCTAATTGACAAAACAAAACCTAGCGTTTGAATCGTGAGATCCCCAGCTACTCGTACTCGCAGATACATTTATATAAGGATCAAAATAGCCACCCCCCCCCCCTTTTTTTTTTCAGCAACTTGGCGTTTGTCTTATAGATGGTTTACAGCACTTTACTCGAGTACGGTACTAGTACAGTTCAATGGGTTTTAGTCTAACCTTGCAACTCTCCAGTACAAATGACTGAAGTGCACATTCCAATGTTCTATGTATCGTGCACCAGATCCCAATTGAACCCTCCAGAATATGAGGTTAGTGAGATGTCTCAAAATTTGTAACATTCCCAGCTGCCAGTGAGAGAAGTATAAGAGTAAACGTGATGATACCACTAAATTCGAGCCACCTTTTTATCGTTAAGATACAGAAAAGAAAAAATCCATCCTCAAACTCTGTAAATACAACCATTTTATCATCCGCTATCATAAGTCAACTCGTCAACTGCTCAACTACAGTAAGTCACAGTCCATTCGCCTGCTCAAATCTCAGAATCACCAACAAGCACTCGCTAAACCGGCAGAACCACCCCACCATCACACTAAAAGTTAAAATCACTCCTATCGCGCTCAAGAGTTAACAGAAAAAACTCTAAGCCCCTCGCTCCCCCACACGCACTGGTATATTGCACCGCTTCCCAAACCACCCCACCAACAAACTATAATACAGCCCATAAACCTCTCCACTCTCACAACCAGATTCACTGATCCAATATCCTAGAGAACCCGCATGGTAATGATACAAGCAGCCCAAATAGCAGAGGGAAAAAGCAACAATGCCCAAATCAGACCTTAACACCCAACCTATTTGACTCAAGAGAAAAGGAGAATGAAAAAGAAAAAAAAAAACTGAAATAGAAATAGCAAGACGAACGCCGGGACCACTTTTTTTTTTACTATAGTAGTAGCAGTAGTAGAAGCAATAGTAGCAGCAGCAGTAGCAGTAGTAGAAAGGGAAAGATGGACTAAACTAAAATAAGGGGGCGGGCACCACAAAACCAAGGCAGAAAAAGTGCAGAAAGCGAAACCGAGACCAAACGTAATCAAGACAGAAATAGAGATGGATGCCCATAGGAAAGCGTAGAGTAATATAACAGAGGATAACTGGGGGGTGAGTAGATGGAAGGGCTAGGGTAAAAAGTCTAGTCGAGTCGATGAGCTCTTCCTCCTATTCCCTCAATCGTGATTATTTTGGTGTGCACCATTGATACTCGGCACCAGCCGTCAGGAAATAATTCCCCTCCGAGTATGAATCACATCAAGGATTGCCTGGTGGTAACAGCTGTCCTTCCAATATCTCTACCAACATCCTCGACCGAACCAACGGGATGTCGCCCGCCGTAAAGTCGAGTCTGCCACTTCTAGTGAGCACCTCAGCAGACTTGAGCGCAAATACCCCGCAGTCGTTCATGTTGCGTTGCTGAGGAGCGCCCGGCATTGCGTAGTCGACCCAGTCGGTATCATTAAATTTCCCTCCGGTTTCGTCACGCATGTACTCCCTCATCATCTAACGGACAATTAATAAACAAGGATTGGCACTGGGTGTATTGCTTGGGAATAAGCTCACCTTGTACGGGCCAGGCCTAGATTCCGGTGTGAATTTCCCTCCCAAGGAATCATAGTATTCGAACCGCTTTTGCTTAAAGTTTACCACAGCGAGACACCAATGGTTGCCCCCAACGTGAACCGGCATCAACAGGTAGTCCAACTTCAAAAGATCCTCGCCCCCGCACTTGGCACGCCTTGCCCATCTTGCGACTGCTTTGTGACCACCATCTTTGAGCTTTGGCCAGAAATAGGTGTTGTGCGCGAAGATCTTCTTGGGCCCATTCGGGAACGAGCTATTAGTCCTCTCGCAGATGAGGTTCATGTAGAAATTTATGATCTCATCATTCAACCATTGGTTCGGCTTAAGACGTTCAAAGTCACGGTTCGTGATCGGGATATTCCATTTTGTGATGTAGGTCTTGTTGAGACCTGAACGGCTAACCTCCGCAAAGGTTTTTTCGACTTTCTCTTTCCGAGCTGGATCAAGCGGTGGTATTACTTCCTTTTTGATTTTGTTTCGTGCCTGTTGTTATATTCCGGTCAGCTTTGAAAGAGCCTCAAGGAGAAGGGAAGAGGAGAGGTACTCACATCTTCAGCTCTCAACCTCTGAATCTCGATCTCTCGTTCTTTGCGTTTTCGTTCTACTTCCTTAAGATTCAAAAATCCATGTTCGCCTCTCGCCCGAAGTTGCTCCAGTAAGACGTCTAGGGGTTCAGACTCGATATGAGCCCTCATTTGAGATCTGCGAAGCTGTATGCTATGAGTATACCAAGCCAAGCCCCATAATTGGCACCACTTACTGCTTCTTGCTTCTTTCTTTCCTTTTCATCCTTGGATTTAAGCTTTTGCACCCGGCCAGAGCTTACTGGTCTACCAATAGATGCTAGTCTAGTGGATCGGCGTAGTTCATCGCTTGATAACCGTTTGTCGATCAATGGAGTCTGCAAAACCGACTGAGCCCCCGGGCTCAGGTGTGACTTCCATGACACTTTATGCGACCAACCGAGTTTATTATTTGCCATATGTCCGGGAAACCTTGGTGTCAAACTAGCACCAGGCGACGGGAAACCAGCTTGAGCTAGGCGGGTTGAAAACTTCTGGTCTCTGCGATATAGTGCACCCCGCAAAATAGACCTTACCGGCAGCGGTTTACTTATCGGAACTGCGAAAAAAGGCTCCTCCCCTTTCGCTAAGGGACAATTGACTCGAACTTTCCCGGAATCGAGAAAGGCCTTCGGCGCCAGTGCTCGAGGCGGATTGGGGAAGTGCTCATCTCCAGAAGCCGACGCCTGCGGTGAAGGTAATTGCTGAGTCGTAACGGTACTTTCGCTGGTATCCGGCACGGGCGCTTTTATCTTTAGCCCATCCCGAACGGCAGCACTCTGAGAGCGTCCGTACTCTTTGCCGGAAGCCCGAGAGTGGACAGCATTGGGAATAGATGCGATTTCGTCGTTAGCTAAACCTAAAAGGTAGATCAGTAAGCTGAACCTAAAAGACGCGACTCAGACAGGTCAATAAGGGTAAGTACAAGAGCGGAACGAATTTTCTGCTTCTGTTAATTTGGGCCGCTTCGATTTAGACCTTCCGTCTAGTGTGTAATCCGGTTCTGCTGTTTCCACTGTTTGCGCCGCCCCTGCCGTTTCTGCGGCTCTCACCGATTCTATCGTCTCTTCAGGCCGGCGAACAACTATCTCAAAACGTCATCAATAAAATCCTCAATGGGAGAAAAGCAAACTCGAGTGGATGCATCATACAACTCCAGTCAACAATAGTTTTCCAAATACTGCTAATGTATCCAAATCCCCACATATTCCGAGCACTAAACACGGCAGATGCCGCACGAGAACGGGGAGGGGTAGTTGTAGATGAACGACTTCTCCCGTCCTCCCCGTCGCCCTCCTCACGCTTCCTCTTTTGTGAGCTTGTTGAGGATGACGGCGAAGTGGTCTGTGAGGAAATAGCGACAGGTGTGGCCGGACCGATAGAGGATTCGGAGGTGGTGGTCAGATTATCGGAAGCTGTTACGGTGGACTCCATAGAAGAGTCGAGTCGCGTATAGAGAAGCAAAATAGTGTGCGAAGACACGATTGATGACGCAAATCACAATTGGAGGTTTTGTTGATGCAGCGGATATGTGTTGTAGGCTGCGGTTGAAAAATAAGGAAGGCGTACAAAGAAGATGCAAGCGTGTTGGAGATGGCGGGTTGCGACAAACAGGAGGGAAGACCCACGAGGAACTCTCACCGGTGGATTAAGAGAAAGGGAGGATCAGGGATGCGATAGACTTCAAGATGTTGTGGAGAGAATTTGTAGAAGAGGTACAATTAGTGCGGCCTCAGTTGCTGTGAGTTCAAGGAGCTCAATCGTGAAAACGGAGTTGGACGGCGGGAGTAGGTTGGGATGATGAAAGTGATGGAACAAAAATATATAAGGTGCCCACAGTGCAGCACCATACAATGGTGCCGTTGAGCTGAGTGTATGGGCAGAGGGTTATGTAATACCAGGCGATCGATAGTCACGTGATATGCAGCACTCTACTTGGCGGACCTTCTTTCAAATTTGATGCTGCATCAATCTGTATTGCAATTGGCGAGACCCTTCTCGCATCAATCCAACGAGACCATCTCATCCCTACCCGATATCCGAGCTCCCCACATTCTGATGATCAGCAAAGCGAAAGCGCCTTCCTCACTCGTCGCCCCCCAATTATCATATTATTATTACCCCAACCTCCCTCGGGTGCAGTGCCAGGCACCTCTTTCTGAAAGACCTGGCTTGTATTTGTTTTTTTGTTTATTTTTTCTGCGTATATTATACTATACGGTACAAAATCACGACTACCAGACGTGGTATTTCATGAAAACCTGCCCAACCCGTAACTTACCTGATAAAGACTGAATGAAAAACACGCGGTACCCCTCTTTCTCTCCCATAATATCTACCTCGAAACTTGTCTCTACAAGTACTTCACCTGCCTTGTCAGCAATTGTATCGGCTTATACAAGTATTTTAGTTCAAAGGTTTCTACGGTACCCTGGGACAATAATAATACAGCAATCAGCAGCTCCGAAACCTATGCAATACTGCACTATTCCCGTATGAAAACCTCTGGCCAGGGAGAAACCCCCTCTGAGGCATAAAGGTGCGGAATCCGAGATGTGCATGTCCGCGACTCACATGATCAGTACCAATGTATTTAATATACCACTTAAACTCCCCGTCTTTGGATGAACTCCGTAGCCAATTAGAAGCGATCCAGCCGACAATTGGCATGAGATATTATATCAGTCTTACAGCCTTCACCCAGGGAAGCGGAAAGATGCGAACGTTGAATATCGTTAGACGCCCACAAAACGCAATCCCGCACGCGCCGGTACTGTACAGTACTGTGGTTAAGTGCCAAAACACCAAGCCTCGGCCTCTGGATATGATATCGGCATTGTACCGTAGATGTCCGAGGAGCAAATCATGGATCCTAACTCAGCTCCTCCCGTTACGGTAATGTACCATACAAGCATTTGGCGCCCTTTCGACAATACTGTAGTCCCTGGCCTTAATCCAAGTCACATATCCGTGCTCGAGCACAGTACTACTACAAGTACGATACTTGGTCTATCATTGAATTTGCGAGGCGCCCAACTAGGTCCAAGACATGGCAGATGATTTTTTTTTGTTTTTTAGGGGCTGGAGATCAGTTCCTGCACAAGATAAGCTTGGGGATAGAAATTGCTATTCTGGGTAAATTTATACGCCCATGTGCTATGAGCTACAGGCACAGTATCATACCGGACTCGAGTCCAGTACAGGAGCATAACTTAATCCACAAATTCAATACCAGCACTCCGTAGACCACCAGTTCTAAAGACCGTAACTCCACTGCCGGAATTACACTTAATAATCAAGTTCAAATACGAGCACATACCCCAAGCAAATGGTTTGGCGTACCGGTATCCAAAAGATGCCGTGGTTTAATTATATCGATTGTGAGTTTTGAGCCTCATACAGTGTTGCTTATCGCATTTTGGTGGGGGGGGACTGGGGAAAAGAAAAGGAGGGGTTGAGGATAAGAAATAAGATCATCAAGCCCGCCCTCCGCATCTCCTTCACGATACACAGCAAGAAGCACGCATAAAGCTAGGCACATCTCAAGCCATGTATGGAGGATTCATGTCGTATTGATCGGAAATGGAATGTGCGCAGGCTACTCACCCATCGGGTCAACATTTTGGTGAGGAGTCTGTGAGTGGGTTGCGTTGCGATTGCGGCTGTACAGTACAGTACAGTACAGCACAGTACCTGTAGGGTAAAGCGCAAAGAACGAGTTCCGTGTTAAAGAAAAGGGAGTTGGTGATACGATATACTGCGGACCCACCGATTTTCTGCTTTAGCTGCCGATGATCAGGTCTTTGGAGAATAAGCATGATAGCGAAATGTGTCTCTGAACGTACACGGTGAAATTGAAATTAAGTCAGAGTATGTATTTATTTATTTTTGTTCCTATCACTCTCGACCATCCATTATTACTGAAATATCTCAAAGGTTTCAATCGTTCAGTCGAGGACATTTTCCCCTACAGTACTCGAGTAATTGTTGCACCTTTCAGCTCTTTACCTCTTCCACTGCATCGTGTATGTAAGATATGACCAGCATCACACCTACTCGAGTAATACGGTACGGCATCCTTTTACCAACGGCCACCCAAAACACCGAGCAAAACCCATGCTTGTGAAGAAAAACCATCTCTACTCCTGAACAGCAAACCAGGAAACCCTTTATCCCTCCTTCCCTTCCTTCTCCCCCAGCACCCCTCTCTGCACCGCAGTTACCACTACTCGTACAGCACTATTCCCCACCCACCCCCTTGACCATCCCCTCCACCCCCGTCACACAACCGCGCAACCCACCGGTATTCCATCCACAGTGCCTCCCCACACTTCTTGGTTGAGACGGTATCTCCTTCAATTGAATTGTTTCCCCGTGCATCTCCCGAGGTCCTTCCCTCCCCCGAAAGAGCCGCTTCACACCGCCAGACCGGCGGTTGAGAGCTCCAGGAGTCCACGCTCCACGGCACGGTACTTGTACTGTGCACCTTTCCCTCGAGACAATCGATAAACCTATACGCACATCCCATACTCAGAAAACGTGGGCTTTGAGTGTGGGGACCGCAGCAGCCCTTGCGCCCCCGAGTGTGCGAATACATCTTCAGCCCTGCTCGGCAACTCTTGGAGAAGCGACCGCAGTTAACACACAACCCTCTCCCCTCCGCATTCTCCTCCCTGGCGGACTACAATCCCACTTTCGGACCTCGGGAATACGAAGAAATAAAGGAAAAGGACAGAGGAAAGCTATAACAAGAGTATCCGGTCGCTTCGTCCTGGGTAGATCCGCAGCTGGGAGATCGGCACTCCCGATAATTAGTGAAGGGTGATCGGTTTACACCTCCACGATAACCAGGGGTGGGGTTACGGAACGAGCAGCCGCTACGATGGAGGGCTCCAAAGTTAATGCATTTGTACGGGTGTCCGGCCCACCAAACCGCAATTACCTGGTCGGATATCCCGGAATTTCAGCTACTCTGGTATCTCTACCCTTTTCACTCTTCCCACATTTGACTGCCCGATGATACTCCTTTCCTTTTGCCGTTTGGGTCGGAGGGAGGTCGAGAATATGTGTGTAGGGGAGCTAACTAAGGTCTCGCCACCAGCCGCGAATAGAGGGTAAAGTAGAAATTAGGCCAGGAGCTGGATACAGCGCACCCGTCGGAATCTCATACGTTGCCATTGGTCTCTACCGGAAGGAAACAATACACCCACATGCCGACAGTATAATCAGTAATCACCTCGCAGCGCCACGGAAAGAAATCAAAGATCTTGTAGGAAAGGAGATTCGATTATTCCAATGCTCGGCAGGAAAGGCCTATGACAGTGTGCTGGCGATGGACCTACCATTTGTTTTATTCATACCATTCTCGAAAGCTGGAAACGAGGATATAATCAAGGTGCCACCAGCAAGTTTACAGTTACCTTCGCGTGTAGCAGAAACATATTATGAGTTGGTAGTGTCGGTGCAGCAGGGCTCGGCGGATCTCAAGAAGCATTCGTTTCCTGTGCCCCTGAGTAGATATGACACATTATCGTCCTTCGGGATGTACAACAGGCCGGAGACGCAAGAACGAGTTTCGGATCATTTAGTAACGCTGAGTATGTGTTTGCAACGATGGTCCTTTGGTCCTAATGATCCTGTTGAAGTCCGGGTACGGCTCACTCCCAACCCGGATTGGATGTCGAAGGCAAAGAAGGTTTCAATACAAAGGTTAGTGGTAGTCATTGAGGAGCAGATTACATATAATCCCGAGGGGGATGAGCCTACAACGAAGGTCAACAAACTCATAACAAAGAAAGAGCTGGTCGGACAAAAGCTACCACCGGATGGATATCAAAGCGATATAACAATACGATTCCCGGCTAAAGAGCTCAGGGATAGCGATGGATTTTTACCACCCCCAAAACCTGCATTCCCAATGCATCCAATTGTTGGATTCACCACAACGGCAACGTTATATAAGATAGATTACTTTTTATCTGTCAAGGTTGGAATTCCGATTCTACGTATTTTAGGCTGAGATGGGAATCTTTTCTTCTGACTTTTGTTAGGCGCATATGTCGAGTTGCAGAGACATCACACTCCGCCAGAGGATCATCGTTTCACCATTCGACCACCAAACCTGCCTTGACGAACTGCCCTCAATCATGCAGGCGGCACAGGACGCAACGGGCATCAACGGAGCAGGACCGATGCTTCCCGCTCCAACAATAGTACGACCAGGTGATCTAAATGCGCTGCACTGGCTAGGGATGACGATGGTTGGCAACGAGAGGAAGTTGCTGATCCATTGAAGATGGAGGGCCGGTCCGTCGAGCCACCCTCTCTTCCCGCCCGGCGACAAAGTGCTGTCTGCTCCTCTCCCCCCTAAAAAATACCCAATGAGTGCTGCTCTTATATTGCGTTTCTGGGGAAGTGGTATAATCATATGCGTGTTTTTCTCTTTTCTCTTTTCTTTGCTTGCTATACTTTTTCGGGGGCTTCTGCTTTGTTTGGAGTTAAGTTACATTTGGGGAGTCACTGTACATGCACGCCTTTTTTTTTTTTTTTTTTTTTTTGCCTTGCTATACTTTTTGGGGGGTTTCTGTTTTTTTTGGAGTTAAGTTACTTTTGGGGAGCCACTGTACATCCACGCTTTTTTTTTTTTTTTTTTTTTTTACCATTTTTATTTGTTGGGCCCCTACGTTTTTCATATCTGTTTGTTTTTTTCCGAGGACTGGGCGCTGTCGTGACTTTTTTCCCCTTCCCTTAACGGGCATATTTTGGGCTGCCCTTTCGCGGGTGCTTTGTTTCTTGCCCTTCCTCCCCACCATTATTACTTATTTCTGATGTTTTCTTTCTACCCCCCCCCCCCGTACGTACATATATGATGCTCTGACAGGGCGTCTATTGTACCAGCCGATTCATAAGCTATCCGGAAATTTTAGTGTCAAAGTCCCCTGATACTTTATGAATGGACTAGTGGATTTCCATTTCTGATCGTATTTATGGTTTCTGCGGACTTGCCTGGGATGGACCAAAATGGGGGTTTGTGAAATCTCTGCCATTGAAGCCCCGGACGCTGCGCCGTTGTTAGTGATGGTTTACCCTTTGGGATGTGATGGTGAATAAATGCTGTGGGCTACTGAGAGAGGGAAAGATTAGTTTGTCTGGCCCACAACACGGGTGCTGGTATTGGTGGCGTGGGGGGGACGAACTTCCACCTAAGAAGTTTGTCCTACGGAGTATACTCGAGTATAGTAAATTTATGCAACCTAAAATAGATTTAGCCAGGATGTCCCACGATGTCCCTCCTCCACCTCGTTGTGCTCTTCGCCCCCACCCCTTTCTCAAGTACCGGTACTCTATCGTACCGTAATACAGCATTGTTATCATACCTCAGACCAAGAGAGTCGCATAAGTTAATACCGAGCCCCCCCCCCCAAAGTCAACAACCACCTGCCAAGACACACACCACACACATCCAGCCAGTCCCGCAAACCAACCGTAGCCATACGAGTAGTCTACCGATATCGTAGACTACAGCACAGCCCAAACCAACCTGCACCTCAACCTTCTTTCAACCTCACCTCCCCCATTCTCCACCACCACCAAAACAAACAAACGAGCAAGCAAGCAAACGCACCCACAATGTCAACCACAGCCCCCAAAACCCAAGATGAAAACTCTGTCCTTCTGGTCTCGAACGACAACCATACCTTCATCCTCCGAAAATCTTCCGTCATGATATCCCCCGCCATAAAAAGTATGTTGGATAAAAAGAGCAATTTTGAGGAAGCGCAGTTTAACCGTGTGGTTTTCAAGAATATGAAGTAAGTAACCTAACCCCCCCCTCCTCCTCTTCGTCAGTCGGTTGGGTGCGCAATGCTGATGTGGGAGGGGGTAGTGGGGTTGTGTTGGAGAAGGTTTGTGAGTACTTTTATTATCGGGAGAAGTATAGGGATGCAACGGACGTGCCAGATATGGAGATCCCGCCAGAGTTGGCGCTGGAGTTGTTGATGGTTGCGGATTTTTTGTGCACTTAAGGGTATTTGTTTTTGCGCGATTGGAAGGTCGGAGGGGTAAATTGGGAGTTTTTTTATTATTTACCCTTCCATGCCCATCTAACTATGAGTGAGATGAATTGTGCTAGTGCACCTACAGTATGCTATGTTACGAAACACCTCTGGCTACGCCGCCGCCTCTACCACTTCTTCCGCTACCTCTGCCTCGTCCTCTCCCGCCGGCACCACCGGCCAATTTCCCTCCACCCCTCCCCCTCCCGCTTTCCATAAAAAATAGGCCCAACCCAAAATCCCACATGTGCAAACTTTATAAAGGTCGTAACTTCGGTATCCCACGATTGCGAGACCAAACATTTTCGGTGGCCGTCCTTCAATCTTCGAAATTGTGATTTCCCACCCGTCTTCTCGTCTACAGGGACGGAGTCGAATAGGGCGGATAACTGGGATAGCGTTGGTAGGGAGGTTTCTCGCGCGCTGGCGACGGCTACAAGAAAGTCTGCTGGTGGGGGATCGGACTTTCTAAAGTGCGGTTGGGGCTTCCAGACTTTGTAGGCTATTCGGAAAGGGGTCTCTGAGGCGACTGCTACCATGTTGGTAGGGGTGTGCGGAGGGTGGTGGGTGGGGATTATTGATAGGCGGGAGTAGATGGAGTCGTATGTGCGGTAGGTTCCTTGAGCGATTACTGGGCCGAAGGGAGGTGGTTTTGTGCGCGTTAGGAAGAGGCTTGTGAAGAGCTGCTTGAAGATGCCGGGTGGTGTAGTTGTCGCAGGTCGGATTGTTCCAATTATTCCCTCTCCCCTTTCCTCCCGCTCTACTACCTTGTCGTCATCGTGGAAGAAAGTTGGCGCCCGCGCAAGAATATACCCTGCCCTCTTCAAATATGTATACACTTGATACCTCTCCAACCCCCCACACCCATCAAGCGCACTAGCATACACCCCCTGCAAACTCATCGGCACGCCCTCCTCCCACCAACATTCCAGGTTCCCTCTTTCAACCAGGTAAATCGTCTCCTCCGGCAGCAACCACAACACCCCCCGTCTGTCGGCTTTCCCGACCGTCTTGAAGTGCGGCCCCCGAGCCACGTGAACTTCTGCCATGCGCTGTGATGGCCGCCAGGTTGCTGATACGTGCTGTTTGCTGGAGTGCTTACGCTCCCCTAGGAGTGCTTCGTGCATCGCCTGCCGGGACTCGTTCAGGACGCGGTCTTGGAGGTCGGTGCCGTCCGGTTCAAAGTCTTTCTCGCCGCGGCGGGGGAGAGCTGTGGTTCCTGTTCTAGAGGGTTGTGAATATCGGAAAGGGTAAAGGAGAGGGAAGAGGGGATTACTTGTTGAGGAGATTTAGGAAGCGAAAGTCTTGTGTCTCATCCGAGAGATCGGCATCTTGAATATTGTTCTGAGCGTTGCGAATGTTACCGTCTTCTGGTTCGTCCATTGAGTACTATTTTCTCTCACACAGTCTGTTGCTGTAGGGAATTAATATCGTTGAACCAAATAGTTGGTGGTGGGGGTGGTGGGTTTGTGCGGTGTAGTAAGGAGATGAGGGGGAAAATTGGAGGGTGAGACCTAGCATTAGCTCCTTCATCACATGGTCAGAATCTGACAAGAATTTTGTATCACGCAGACTAATCTAGGTTTGAACATCTCATCCCGGCAAACTTTTGATTGATCCTTGATGATTTGGGATAAGTTGAGCAGGAAAACTTACCCTACCATACCATGTCTTCACGTGTTTGTCTAACTTAAGTTAGAATGCCGGTACCTGTACCGGTACCGTCCGGTGTAGACTACGATACCATTCTACAAGTAGTACCGTCACTCCTGTTCATTTCCCACATCTTTCCTTCTCCCCTCTTCACCTCTTCCCTCCCTCTTCTCTCCCCGCCGCTCTCATTTCCCCAGCCATAGTCCCTCGCTTGTTTCCTAAGAGCCACTCATTCACTCTTTAAGTTAAACTTAACATTCATTTGTCTGTTATTTGTACCGGTAGTTACTCTCCCTCCAAATGAAGCTGCAGCTTGTAATCGCCCCCTTCCCTATTTTACCACACAAACACCCAGTTAACCAACTTGCTCCTGCAGTCTGTTCTCGCAGCATTCCTCGCTGGCTCCGCATCCGCCGTTCGTCCGCTTATTGCCAAAGGTGGGAATTTCGTCAATTCCGCCGGCGACAGGTTTGTAATTGTTGGTTTGGCGTACCAGCCCGGTGGTGGTATGTTACACTCGCCACACGCGCACCGTGATTAGGACCAGAATTGTATGACTGATGAGTTACGAGTGGGGATTAGCTTCGGGGTATGATCCGGCATCTGGGAAGGATCCGCTGAGCGATCCTGATATTTGTCTTCGCGGTAGGGTTCCTGCGGAGAGCGTGTGCGGTACTTTGTGGTTAATGTTGATTTATGAAAGCACAGATGCTGCGGTAATGCAGAGACTCGGAATCAACACTATCCGTGTATACAATGTGAACCCGGAAGTTAACCATGACATGTGCATGTCCATCTTCAATTCCGTTGGGATCTACGTGTATGTCTTATCTTCATCATATCTCACTCGCCAACTAACATCCCTCCCCCTCCAGAGCACTAGACGTCAATTCCCCACTCGCCGGGGACTCCATCCACCGCCATGAGCCTGAATCCTCCTACCACGAAGGATACATAAAGCGCATCTACAGCGTCGTTGACGCATTCAGAGGCTACCCCAACCTCCTCAGCTTCTTTGCTGGCAACGAGGTCGTCAACGACGCTCTCTCCGCATCCCTAGTCCCTCCTTATATCCGTGCGATCCATCGGGACCTGAAAAAATACATTGCGAAGCACGCCCCTCGCACGATCCCGGTCGGGTACTCCGCCGCTGACGACCCGACCAGGCGACCGATGTGGGCTTACCTTTCCTGCGGCGATGATGCGGATAGCAGGACCGACTTTTATGGACTGAATTCTTACCAGTGGTGTGGAGATTCTACATGGGAGAGCTCGGGTTATCAGGGACTAGTAGACACCTTCAAGAACACATCTGTCCCGCTATTCTTTTCAGAATTCGGCTGTAACAAGATCCGCCCGAGACCATTCGGTGAGATCGCGGCACTCTACGGCGAGCGCATGATCTCCTCGTGGTCTGGTGGTCTCGTATACGAATACTCCCAAGAAAAAAGCGACTACGGCATCGTCCAGATCGACTCCAACGGCGACGCAAGACTCCTTAAGGACTTTGACAACCTGCAGAGCCAATACAACAACATCAACCTCAACCTCATCAAGACCAAATCCGCCGCGACAACCACAGCCCGCCACCCCAAGTGCGAAGACACCTTCATCCTCCAGGGTCACTCAGAGAAATTCAACACCTCCACAACTCTCCCACCCAATCCCGCCACCAACCTCCTAGAGAAGGGCTCCGGGAATACCAATGTCGGCAAATTAGTTCCCGTGACGCAGACCAAGACCCCGCATAAGGTTTTCACTAGCACTGGTGTCCAGATTGACGGTATTGAGATTAAGATGTTGAAGGATGATGAGAGTAACACTCCCTCGGGGGAGAACACTAGTTCGTCTACAGCATCTAGTGGGTCTGGGGGAGGTTCGGGAGATGAGAAGGATGCCACAGGAGGGTTAAGGGTTAGCGCGGTTTTGGTTGTTGGTGTTGCGGTGGTTGTTGGGTTTTGGGGGTTGGCTTAGCAGCGTGTTAATGAGCTGATGAGGGATGGGATTGAATGGAATGACGTGATGCGATGCAGTTTATGACGGGTGGAGATGGGCGAATCGGTTGATGAGGGATGCACGAGAGAGAGAGAAGGGGAGAGAGGGAGAGCAAATATGATCTATTGTGATTCTACCGAACAGTAACGATTGACTTTTTGACTTTCAATGATACCCTGTTCCTTAAACACCTTGCTTTCCCCCCCCTACCTATCACGAGATATCATAAACAGTGCTTCCCAGTCGTCGACTAAAATTGGTCAATGCACCCACTGCCACCCAGTAAGACACATACTAGTGCTATACTGTAGCAAGCTAAGACAGAGATAAGGTAAAACAAATAAATAAAAATTTAAATTTTTAATGGGGCAATATGGTATCCATAAAAGGAAACCCAGGACTAGTAGCGTCCGACTGCCGTCGTCCCGACCCGGTCCAGGACGGACTGGACGACTGGAAGCACTGAAATTTCATAAACAACCTCACAAACTATATTACACGGAGACAACTACTCCAAATCCCTAGCAACAACAACACACATTTCCCTAGAAACCCACGTCTTCCTCCCAATCATCTTTGCAACCACATCAATAGGAATCCCATCCGGTCCCAAAGCCCCCTCACACCCATCCCTCCCACCACCACCACCCCTCCCAACTTCCTCAACACTAGCGCTGACTTCAAACTCACCCTTACACAACACCACAAACCCAATCTCCACAATCCTAACCTCCCCAGCCTCCAACGGTCGCAAACTCTGTTGCAATAACCCATTAAAGGCAAGCCTTCTCGTCAAATCCATCGCGACCCCGCCGTTAGCCCCCTGGTTCCTGAGCGCCGGTAAAAGCCTAAGCAGTGGTGTCACCGTCCTCGCCGTCCGATTCGTCAGCGTAGTGACAAGCGTTAAGAAATTATCCGTGACAACAAGGTACTTTGCCGGACCGATCTTGCGGACCTGCTCCTCCACCTGCTTAACTGAGACGTCGATGCCAATGTCTTCTATGCGAATAGTCTCGACCATTCTAGGGCTCAGGCGGATCCCACGAAGTTCTATGTCCCCCGACCGGCCCGTAGCTATCTCCTCCCAGCGGCCACGAACGCAGTCAAGGACTTCCTCGCGATACCAGAATGATTCGCGGGATTGGCGCTCCTGCTCTGCTGATACTTTCGCCGTCGAGACGACGAATTGACGTTGGTTCGCAGACAGGGAGGGAATTGGGTGCGAGGGATTTTGTAGAAATACGCGCTTTATTGGCAAGATAACGCGGGAGGTGTGGCCGGCTTGGAGAACGTCCTCGGCATAGAAGGAGTCTCCCCAGCTGGGTTCTAGGTCTTTAGGGTTTTTAGAGGAGGGGTCTCGGACGTTCATCCTTACCTTGAGGGCTTGAGGCCAGGCATTCCGGAGGTCGAGGAGCATTAGGCAGTATTGCGCTGGGTCGTCCTTTAAGCCTATTCTCCGGAAGAGCTCTTTGAATTGACCCTTTTGGCTGACGCCCTCTTGCTCGTCTTTCAGTCCTTCCACTCCGTTTGTTTGCGTGTTGTTGAAAGAGTCAAATTGGAGATCTGTACTGAAAGGGACAAAGTCCACGCGGGCCAACTCGATACTTGCGTTCACCGTTACAGTGACCGGGAAGACGACCTGCCGTGTGTAGAATCTCTCGGCTACCTCGTTCCGTGGCATCCCCAGATGCCCGTAGTCTGCTTGGACACTTCCGTGTGTCAATCCAGGCTTTCCTAGTACCTCAACTTCAAAAGTTGCCACCCCATGTGCTGGGACGAAGACAGCCCTCTCGCCGGCTTTGTCCTCAGATTCTTCCCCATCACCATTATTTGAGGTCCCGTTGGCACCCTGTATTGCCCTATCCCCCCGTTGCCAAACAAAGGCTCTCTTTTTTGCCAACATCAGTTCTAGCTCATACATCTCCGCCGGGTTATTTCCTTTATCAGCAAGAGCTTGCTGAATCCTCCCTGTAGTGGAATCTCTAAAGCTAAATACCAAAAGGTCCACATCTGTACCACTTAGGTTCTTGAAAGTAATATTAAAAGTCCTACGTTCGCCCTCGAGCACCATAAGAGCGCTTTGGGAAAGACTTGTCGACTTCACCACAAGCAGAGGTTGTGATTCAACCACAGTCAGATCCAGATTCTTTGGAATAGGATGCAATTGCGGTGGTGGTTTGGATAATCGCCCAGAGACAGTGGATACTGGTCTCTCAGTCTTAGGATCCGCAGCTTTAAGTCCATATCGCTTCCTCTTCGTATCTCGTTCCCGATTATCTAGCCCCTCGGTAAATATCGGGAATGCCCTCTCCCTGCACCCAAACACCTTAATCTTGCATCCAGTAACCTTGATACTTCCACTCTCCTGGGGCGTGGCATACACCGCAACTTGGTACGTTCTGTACGGGTTGATAACAACACCAACTTTTTGTACCTCCAGCCCAACTCCTGTAACATCCAGCGTGACGCTCTCAACCTCGATATCGAACTCAAAGGGGTTCTGCAGGGTCACACGAAACTCCGCCGCCTCGCCCTTAACCAACACTGGCTCGGCGACAGCCGCCTCTGCTTTCTTTAGAAACGGGTTGTAGATGAACGGGTTCTTATCAACCTCGATTGGTGCCGATGGGGGCGTATCTGAATCCGCATCCATCAGCTCATTCTTGGCGTGTGATATCGGCGGCCTCCACATGGAATTCTCCACCACTTCCACATCCCTCAACAAAAATTGATCCCAGTAATCCGCCTCCACATTTGGCAGACCCAACTTTCGTGCAGCACCTACCGTCCGCGAAATTGTCGTGGACAGTCTCATTTGCTCCTCCTTTGTGAGATCTGCATCAGCCGTTCTTAGCAGCTGAGTAGTAAATCGCAATACGCCATGGAAATCTGGCAATGCTTCACAAAGAGCTGTACAGTTCCTCAAGACATGGATCTTCAGGGCAGGCCAACCGAAAGCCCGTATCTCCTGTTCAGCTATCACCTCCGCAGTGGCTAATGATGATACTATTTCTTCATTACCGCTTTCCTTCTTCTCTGCGATACTAGGCGATCTGTCATCATCCTTTTTGCCAGGAAGCACACCATAAGCTCTGCAAAGATCCTCGAGTAGCTCCATAACGCCACACTCTGCATCGCCCTCTCCTAGATCCAGTGGAGACCCCCCTAGAGCACCACCACTAACAGCACTTAATCCAGCAGCTGGATGAACACCAACCTCGGCTGCACCTACAACTCTTGCCTGAATCAAGCCAGGTATCAATATCTTGATAAGCTCTCTTGTCACCAAAGCCTTTCGCCGCCTCGATCCAATCATGCCTAAAACACTAGCTATCCCACTTAACACCCGCGTAGCATCAAGAACCATCAATGACTCCAGCGGGAACGGGTACCCCCTCATTACCAGCATAGAAATCTCGGCCTTGTATGGTATGATTTTCAGGTGCTTTCCCGAAGGTAATGGTTTCCCGAATACGACATGATCCAAAGATTCATCATTCAGGCCACCCGTAACATAAGTCGTGGCCCGGAGTTTACTGAATCTGATGACAGTCTCTGAGAAACATATTTGTGGAATACTCTCTCCTGCAAAATTCGCAGAACGAGTGTAAAGATTAAGAATGATCTCCAACAACTCTCCCAAAAGCTCATTAACCTTTGCCGGAGATGTCGAAAGCGCTGCATCAGGGACCCCACCCGGATCGGGGGACGGCGTTACAGGCTTTGAGTTTGATGGTGAAGGTTTTGTGGCTTTGGTGACCTCAGCTGTAGGATACGGTATCAACGGCATCTAAATCTCTACATCAACAATACGTCGCATGATAATTGAGAGTGAGCAAACCTGAAAATCCACTTTCAGGTGAACAAGAATAGCCAAACATATACCAATCCCCTCCAGTGCTTTCCCATGCCACAGGTGGTCATTATTATTCTTCGCAACATTACCACCTTCCACAAATCTATAACCCTCCAAAACAAACATTAGCCACACTCCCACGCACGCAGAACCAAGACTCACTCCTTCAAAGCATCTGGTATTCTCCCGGCCAGTAGGTATAACGAAGCAATAACTATATTCACCCTGCATTTCCCTTTATTCCTTGTCCTCTCACTCACACTGGCACTCCCGAACCCTGTCATGGTCATCCTCTTGCTCGCCGCTCCAGTATTTCCAGCAACCGTTAAATTGGCACCTAATCCAACCGGCACACTCATTCTGTGGTCTTGCGAGCTCGAAGAACTAGCCACCTGGTTCTCCGAAGACAGTGGGGAATCGATGGTCGGGAATGCCTGGATCGTCCTTGCAAGTCCGCTCAACTCGGAAAGTAGTATAGAGGTGATGTCGCACATTATGGTTCGCATGGACGGAGATCTAGACTCCCGCTTCACCGGTACAGGTATGAACACCAGTCGTTCCTCACTGGCATTTTTTGATCTCGAGGACTCGCTCGGATTGGGTAGGGTAGGCGGTGAATCGAAGATCAAGCATGTGTGGTACAAAGCTCGCGGATACTAGATAGATATCTTTCAGTTAAAACACCTGCGTTCCAATATTCAAGACTGATTACCAGAAACTTTAATTCCTCCAGCTGTTGCGAAAGGATTTCTGGATCACTGCCCTCCGTGTGATCAGCTACCGCGATGATAAGGTATGTCCTCCGATAAGGCTCAAAAGACTCCAAGTACTCATGCTCCTTATCGAAAGAAAGCGTCAAGTCGTAAATCAATTGCCCATTCGGAAATCCCTGAGGACTAAACAACGCTGAAGGGTTAAATTAGCCATCTCTTGGAGAACCACAACCCAAGGCATAACCCAGCGATAGGGATCGGGGGCGCAAACTACGATTAGGCGTTGAATCCGGAGTTACATCTCCCAACCGGACAACATTTGAACTTTGTAACCTGGTAACAAACGAGGAAAATCGGGATCGCTTGATCCTGCCCAGGGGTAGAGCCAAAGCCTTAATCCTGGAGGGAGCAGCATAAGAAAGCGTATCAAGACTCATGATGATTCGGGTTCCTGTTATCGTTCTGTCAAGGGGTTCTCGTAGCTCAAGGTTTCATGCAAATTTATAGTTTCTGAACGCCGGAGAAGAAAGATCAGATGATTAATCTCAACTTCCCGCAATGAGCGTATCGATTGCCCGATGACAAGGGGAGGAGAGAGGGAAAAAAGAGACAAGTACTCGAGTACGGGTAATCCTGCACTGTTAAAATTCTGTCGTTGAATCCGGTATTTTGTTGACAGTACCCGTAGTTTCAAACTGTTTCGGAATCTCTGATCCATGTGGGGTTACCCGGCCCCTTCCCGCTGCAAGAGAAAGAGGCAGAGCGAACATCCCGCAACAACCCATCTCAAACGGATGGAACTGGCATCATCCTAAACTACGCCTCGATCTTTCTTCCTCCGCGTGGGCCGAATGCGACTGAAAATAATCTCTATTTTATTTTATTTTACTTTACTACTATTTTATTTCTTTTCAACCTCAGGCACACACAGCTGGTTTCAGGAATCATCATGAATGGTCACTCGTTTACCTGGTAGTTCTCGAGGGAATAAAGAGGACATGCCTGAAGCCGGCCCCTTCCGCATCATGACCTGCTGGCCTCGGCACGGTCGACTGGCAGACGTGGCACCAGGTGGCTCACCGAATTGGGTGCCACCATACTGATACGATACTATCACGCGGCAGAGCATGATTCCGATCTAAGACCACGCACGATCATCTATCGATCAGTCCTCGTAGAAGGGTTGCCCAGCGTCATAATATACCGGTGGAAAGAAGGACCTCGCTCGTAGATTACCATTTTGATACAGACCCCGTTTCACGAAATCCAAAGGTGAGAGACCAATACAGTAGTACCGGTACTTGGATGCTACTGTAATCAGTAGGCGAATATCCCTTCGCTGCTCACCAGTCAGTGGGAAACAACGCACAAAGCGTCACTCGCGATCACATAACCAATCAAAAATCCCATGACCTGTCCTCCCCGAGCCCTAACCCTCCCATTACCATCGGTGTAGAGCCGCACTGGAGATGATTGCAAGCGACTGTATCATAGAGCTTCAATCCAATTTATTATCCTAGTAGAGTACTGGTACTTGTATTTGTAGAAGCCACAAGTCACCTTATCACTCGGCAGCGCCCGAAGATCTTTTCCGCCCACTCCACCGGAGGAAGAGTAAGCAAAAAGGGAGAAAATGCGGTGTTTTTTTTTTTGTTTCCCCCTCCCCATCTTCCATATCGCGTTAACTGAATGCACTACGGCATCATACGAGTATCAGAGTTCATCGGGCGGGTGCCGGAGGGGAAGGGTGAAGGGCATGTAAGTGAACTGCGAGAGGTTTGGGCCTGCTGCCAATCATTTTCTGTTGGTGGAGGCAAGAAGCACACCAGAATTGGAGAGCAGGGAGCCCACGATCGAGAAACATGCTCGCTTCTTTCCTTCTTGTAGATGTGCTGTACGAGTACTCGTACTGTACCGGTACGCTATTTACCTTGACGTTTGCGGTACGGATCTATGGGCGAGATTATTTTATTTCATCAGATTCTTATTCTTTTTTTTCCCACACGGGATGTTTGAATTCTTGAATGCTGGTCTACTTCCTGCACTACCGTATCCTTTTCACCGTTACCGTAGTCTCGCGTAGTCTCAGACTCTGGCAGCATTGTTGGTGAGCATTGTGCTCTTAAAATTCTACGGTAGATGCTCAATGGGTGGTGATGTGGGTGAGGCTTGGATGGATCGAGCATTGAAAGAGGGGGGAACAAAGGTCAATAGGAGTTTTCACGCCTGGCTAGCGCCGTCCGTTGGGCTTCCTTTCCCTTTACTTGCATAGTAGACTACCGCACCGCTCACTGCACAACAGACACTACCACACAGGACTCCGGAGTGCAACGACAAAAAAAAAACACTGGCATCCTTGACCACCACCATCACCCACGCCCGTTCCCTACCACTTGTTTTTTTCTCCCTTCCTAGCAACCTATACTCCGGGCCATTCGGTTTTTCGCCCCCCTCCATTCTATTCCCTTCCTCCTTTCCTTCATCCACCCTCTTCCACACAGATTCACCTCTTCCTTCATTCTTTCCTCACCCCTTGAACAACACCCGCTTTTATTATTGTTCATTCATCCCCTTATACCTTACCCACGGATCTACTACCACTTACGCGCATCGTCATTTGTTGCATCTTGACATCCTTTCCCTCCCCAACAAACACCTTTTTCTTCTTACCCCCTCCCCTGCAACTATCCCGAACTGCACCTTCATCACCATCTTCTTCTCTTTATAATTTTCTACCGCCGCTAGCCACCAGATACCCTCGAAATACCCATTACTCCATTTCTTCCTGCAAAATGCCACCGCGTGTGCCAAAACGAAAAGCTGCTGAAGCGGTAGAGAATACCTTTAATGGTTCTCCTGAGAGTGAAGGAGAACGGGCAGCTGATGTAGTTCTGCCTATCCGCAAAGGTAACAGGACACGGAAAATAGCAGAGCCCAAGACAAAGGCAAAGACAGCTGCGAAAGTCGCGAAGACCATTAAGGCATCGAAGGCTACTAGCACCGAAAATACCACCGCTGAAAATACCTCCACCGCAACGACAAAGGCGGTGAGGAAAGTCATTGAGAGAGCAAAACCCACCTCACTCGGGGCCGCTCCTGTATCGAAGGCTAGGAAGGTAGCTGTTGCGACTGCTGAGAAGAAAGCTGGAGATGAGGAACGGGTGGAAGAGGTAAAAGCTACGAAGGGGAAAAAACGGAAGGAGAAGCAGCAGGGGAAGGAGAAGGAAAAGGGGAATGGGGAGCTAAAGGAGACTGAGGAGACCACGATGGTTGAGGAGGCCGAGAGAGAGAAATCTGTCGAACCGGCCCGCAAGAAGGGTCGCGCTAAAGCTAAAGCGCTCGCGGACCCTAAAATAACATCTGTCCCTACCCGGCGACTGAATATTTACGCGTTTGGTACTGGCGATAATGCCGAGTTGGGCCTTGGGCCAGAGGTTAACGCAAAGGTTGTCAAGCGCCCTAGATTGAATACCCATCTTCTCCCCGAAAAGGTTGGAATTGTTGCTGTTGCGATTGGTGGTATGCACGGTTTGGCTTTGTCGCATGAGGGGAAAGTCTACTCGTGGGGTGTCAATGATCAGTACGCCCTTGGGAGGGAAACGAAGTATACTCCTCCGGTGGGAGATGTGGGTTCCGATGAGGATAGCGACAGCGACGACGAAGAACCCTTGAACCCATTGGAGAGCATGCCAATGCTAATTACAGCGTTCCCAGAGGGGACTGTAATTACAAACATTGCTGCCGGTGATAGCGTTTCAATCGCTGTTACAGATACCGGCAAGGTTTATGGGTGGGGAACATTTAGGGTATTTGATCAATTCTTCATTTGGGTTTACGGTTTCATTGACTTATTATTCAGTGCTCCGACGGCATTCTTGGATTCAATGAGAAGACCCGTATACAGAGCGTTCCCGTTTTACTACCTACACTCAAGAACATTGTTCAAGTTAGCGTCGGCACTGATCACGTCCTCGGCCTTACGAGGGAAGGAAACGTATTCGCGTGGGGCAATGGCCAACAATTCCAACTCGGGAGGCGTGTTGTTGAAAGAACCCGCCTCAATGGGCTCATTCCTCGAGAGTTTGGTCTTCCTCGCCACCAGGTCAGGTACGTCGCTACCGGCTCATATCATTCTTTCGCAATTACCGAAGACGGGAAGGTCTGGGCGTGGGGACTCAACCAATTTGGCCAATGCGGGATATACGACCCGAAGCACGCCGGGGAAGACAACACCGTGGTTCCCGTTCCCACCGTTGTCCAGGGCCTTATAGAGCATAAGATTGTTCAGATATCCGCTGGAGAACATCACTCAGCCGCCGTGACCGAGGACGGTGAGCTTCTGGTCTGGGGCCGTCTCGACGGTGGACAACTTGGTTTGGACCCTGAGACACTCCCAGCGGAAGACGTTGTCCGTGACGTATCTGGCAAGCCTCGCTATCTTTCGACCCCGCGTGCAGTCCCTGACATCAAGTTCTCCTTCATTGGCTGCGGCACGCACCATAATATAGCTATCTCGAGAGAGGGGCAGGCATACTCTTGGGGCTTCGGCGGCAGTTATCAAACCGGCCTCGGCCCCGAGGCTGACGACGAGATCAAAACCCCGACAAAAATTGAGAACACAGCTACCAGAGGTGTCAAGATGGTTTTCTCTGATGCCGGCGGGCAATTTTCCATCCTCGCTGGCATTCCCCCGAAACTTACCAATGGCACTTTATAGGCCACGCGCCTTGATTGGTTGTTGGTGGAAGTAAGATGAGACGAGAATGTGATGTGATGGTCAATCTATTCTGTGCGTGTTTATTCTTTTCTTTTTTCTTTTTTCAAACATAACTCGGGAACGTTATGCATACGAACGGATTGGCCGACGGACGGATGGATTGGCTGGTGGATGTCGTGATGGAGGTGGTTGGTTAGTGGCTGACATATTTTGTAACGGTATAAAAAAGCGGTCTCCATCTTATTTTTTTCCCCTCTCTTTTCCTTTCTTGCTATCAACCTATGGGGTTTCTTTTCTCTCTTATTATTCTTTTCCCCTTCTTATTTCGGTCACGCGAGGCGTGAGTTTGGGTTTTCCTTTTTCTCTTTTAAAATCGGTTCGGTTTCGTGGTTTATTACTTAATTCCTGTCGGGGTGGGGGTGGGGGTGGGATTATCTACAGTACAATGCTTGCTGAGCTCTATGTCAAATATTTCATTCATACACCAGGGACGGGGAATATGTATAGTGCAGTGTAGATGGGGGCAATGCAGCGGAGTAACAAGTTTCAGTCGATTGTGGTCTACACTGTGGTGAGGGGGCGTGATTGGGTCGCCTCTGCTCTATACTCTACGAGCCCCTTCATATAGAGGGTATCAAGTCTGGCTCGGGGATTGGGGGGGGGGTTTCTCCCGGCGCTCTGCCCGATTCGCTCTGCTCTATTCACAGCTGGGTATTGTGTACGTATCAAGAGGAGGGGGGGTATATCATAAAAAGTCACTCGGGAAGCGGGCACATTCGGATGTCGTATTATAGACTAAACCAGAGCCGCCAGTAGTGTTGAGGCGGTGGGTGAAATGACTCCCCTGCGCCATTCGTTTCGGTCTCTGTAGTGAGATTTTTCACCCCCCTCCTCCATCGTTCGCCTGGTCCCCAAGCGGAGTCCTTGAGGAGTCATGTCTTCTTACTCATTCATGTTTGTCTTTTCTGTTTCCTAGGGAACAAGTAGTTTGGCCTGTGCTGTCCTATGATAGTACTGTACAGCCACGCCCACAAAAGTTCGCGCGCCCCTTCCGAGCACTATTAACCCCTTGGAAACGTCTCACTGGCCGGCCCCCTCTTTCCATCACGCAGTAAGAGTAAGATAAAATTGTGCAATGTCCCTCACTAGAGGACAATTATATTACCTATCTCTCTTTCCCGTTGCCGTTGCCGTTTATTGGCATTTCTCTCTCTCGAAGGGGGGGGGGGGGGGGCAGTATGAGAACTTTACGGAAGGTCTGAGCAGTTTTGGTAGGTGGGGGGGGGATGACTTGAGTTTTGTTGACTGGGTAGGGATTGAGGTGTCGATTTTGCTACGGTATATTTGCTTATGATGTCATACTTTGGTTTTCCTTTTCTTCACAGTTGTCATATGTGGACTTGCCGCTGTCGGGGAAGTGTTGGGGTATGATAACGGCGTGTGTTATTGTAATATTCGGGTTTTGGGTTGTATCGTGGGCGTGATAGTCTATCATAATATGAGTACGAGTACTATATGAGATGATATCGTAGAACATGCTTACTAATGGTACGGGAGGAAGTATGGTGTGGGGGAGTGTAATTTAATCCTTGCCACAGGAGTGGCTTGCACACAAATAGGGTTGGCGTCCTTTGGTGGGAAATGATGAGACAGCTCTCGATCTGATATTCTCGGAAACTGTCAGGCCCACCACCGTATTCGCACCTCCAGTGGTAACAACAACAATCTATCTCTTGATCCCTAATGGGTAGAATGGTGAAGTCAAGCACTGAAGAATAGAGGTATCTATGGAAAAAAGGAAAAAAAAGAGATTTCAGAGTGAATCTTTATAGTCTTTGGGGAATGAGAACAGACAAAAGCAAGTGAGAATCAATAATCCCAAGGGAGAAAAAATCTATTCACAATCCTTGCTTCCGGTTCACTTGTTCCGCCTTTCTTGTCTCCTTTCCCATGGCAGGTTCAACAACCTTGTTAAGTACACTGCTTCTTGACAGTATATAGCACGTTGTTGAGTCTAAAGTTAAACAAAATAGCCTATTACTCAAGCATGGTGGCTGACCGCCTAGCCGATTGGAAAAATGCAAGTGTAAGTGGGGGTGGAGGGGAAAACAGTACTGTACTCGTACTCGTATTTGCGGGCACAGCACGGTGTACTGTACAATAGCATGGCACTTTATTGCAGCGGCGATGACGGTAGGGCTGGGGAAATTTTGACAATTTGTCCATCTGTCCACCCCTGTAAGGTATTCGTCATTCCGTCACTCGTGGGATCCTCCATGGATAGGATAGAGGTATCGACTTTGCGCGTAACTTGGCGGTGTCGTGGTGACTGCCGTAGTGTTGTGAGGGTGCTGGTATGATATGTGAAATAGACTATGCTTAAGCACCTTGCGTCGGTCCGCCTGCTCCTTGCTCCGATGCCTGTTTACTGTGCCCACAAGTACCCATTAAAAAGTTAGCGAACAGTTTGAGTTAGGTTAGTTAACCTGCAGAAGAATCTCTGTCTTGCACAAAAACATCTCCCCGGGTACTCGAGTACTTGTACCTTTATTCGTGGCTATTCGTGCGTGGTCAGGCGGGGAGTGTCATGCCGTGGGGGGAGGAGGGGTAAACCTGCTCGTACTGTACAAGTATTTCATACAAGGGTCAGGCAATAAAAGGTGGCACAGTGCATAACTAAAATTTCAGTTGGCAGTGGCGCCGTACAGTACACACCCAAGAAACTTGACCCTGGAAGGTTCTCTATCGTATTTCCTCTTGCCTCAGTCAACTTCTAAGAAATACCGGTAATTGATAGATGGATGGATGGGGAGCACAGACTCCAATTATATCCACCTATAAAAAGAAGAGCGCTTTCCAGGCTCTTGTTGAGCGATGGAAGCTTCGTGTTTCCAGCCGGGTTGGGTACACTGTATGATAATACCACTAATTTTGGCCGCAATCGACATCAACTAGGATAAATTTGTATTGATTGACGCCAATACCCTGGTGCCCTGACTCCATGCCGTACCACTTTTGATTTCCTACCCCTCGTATCATACCTGTTCTGCCGGTAACTTTTCGAGCTTTGTATCGCACCATTTTTCTTCACTGGATTCGCATCATGATCCGCTGGGCGATTGCTCCACGTGATGTGTGACCTTGTCAGTTAGAGTACCTTGGTTCAGGATGATGGAGTGGGAGAGGTCATCGAGTGGGTGGTTTGTGATTAATTGATTCTTGGGCCGTTGGAGAAGGGGATCTGGGACCTTTTTTTCTTTTTATTTTTATTTTTTCCTTTTTCTTTCTTCTCGAGGTGAGTGAGCAGGTGAAGTCCAGGTGGGAAAAGGCTCCCCTTCCACCTCTTGCTCATCTGGGGGGGGTCCCTTTTTTTTTTCGTTCTCGAAAGTGCAGTATCATATCAACACAGCATCGTATATCGGGTGATGACATGCGATATTTTCGTTACTTGCAAGTTAGGCACGGTCATGAATGAATGGGAGAAGGCTTTGTGAAGATATCATAATTATCATAGCACAAGGCTTCGGCATATATCCTCTGCCCTTCGTGCTTGTGCAAGTCATACCTTATCCTGGTCTTCTTGGATAAGCTTTAATTACTTGTGCTTACGGCGGTTGTTTCTTTTCGCCTCTATTGTCCGAGTACTGTACAGTACGGGTATAGGTATCTGAGGCCTTGTAAAAAGGGTTTTACGTTACCTTCCGACCATTTGGAGCCCCACCAGTGGGGGAAGAAAAACACAATCGTTGGAACGGCGGTACCCGGGAGGTTATATATGCCGTTGGCCAGCCTTTAACCTTGGCACGATTATTTGCTTTGTTTTACTCTAATACCTTGCACACTGTCTACTTTTGTTCTGCTGTGCTGTTCGGTGCTGTGTTCTGCCAGTGACCAGTCTGAGAGTTTATGCCCTGTGTATGATACTCGAGTACATAATTGGGCGTTTATCGAGTCTTATCGGTGGTGCTTTTCATTCAGTTCATTCCTTTCCTTTCCTTTCCTGGTCATTCTTCCCCCCGATCTACTGGTCTCATACTTGCCGCTTTGAAACTTTGCCCTTTCCCGCCAACCAGAGCTGTTTATGCAGCGGTCGCGTCACCGATCACTTCCCTCCCCCCCTCCTAATCCTGTCTGCAACTGCACTGGGACTGTATTCCCTTTTCCTCCTTCTCTTCCCTGCCCTGCCCCTCTGTGACACTTTGCCTACTACTGCATCTCACGGCCCACACCACACAGCTGCAGAGCAGGTGGAGAAGGCAGAGCGCTGTAAAAGGTACCGTGTTGCACTGGACGCTGTAGGCAGTATTTGTTTAAAAGAGATATCTACCTGCCCCTCCTCCTCATCTCTCCCCCTCCCCTCCTCCTCCCCCCACCCTTAGGATCTCTTTTCAAAGATCATCACCACAATCAATAAATAACCCTTTCTCACTTTCTCACACTTTTTTTTTTTTTTTTGCAGGCCATGGCTTTCCGATCTCCTGCAGCCGCCCGTCGACACTTGACCTTGCAATCCGTCCCAACTCATGACGACGACCAACGTCGGCTGGATAGCCCCTCGCTTCTCGGGTCCCCGGCTGTCTCGCATGCCCCCACTATTGAGGCTGACGGTGACGAGTGGGTGGTTTTCTCGCCGTCCAGTGTTAGCGGAACGGCGACTACGGTAACCGGAACGCATGCTTTGTCCCGGGCTAGCGACCTCCTGAGCATCAGGTCGGTTCGTTCCCCGAGGGTGATACAGCAGGGGTATTCTGGGGGTTTCACTGATTTGGAGGATGAGGTGGATTTTGAAGAAGAAGAGGAGGAAGAGGAGGAAGAAGGGTCGTACGACACCGAGACCGATTCTTTACAACCCTTTCGGGATTTGGGTAATGAGGGACCGGTCATGCTCCCTATGCATGACGGTCTTGGGACATTCCCGTCCTCGTCTGGGGTAATCTCGGGTTTGAGGAGTTTGGAGGAGTCGTTGAAGATCGTGGCTGAAGCCACTGGGGGGAAAGGCACATCTGGTGACATCAATGCTAGGATACAGAGATGGCGGGAGGGGCAACGGCAAGCGTTGTTAGATGAGATCCAGAGGGCTAGCCGGAGGAGAACCTCATTTTTCGGCGATTCTATACGAGGCGGTGACCTCGAAGACGAGGACGAAGCGTCCATGAACATCGAGGGCCCAGAGACCGAGGTGAAAGAGATCGAGAAACGCACTTCTACGCCTACCCTTTCTCAGAGCGGCAGCATTGGTGGTGCCGAGACGGTAGCAACTCAGGAGAGTGCACACGAGGAAACACTATGGAGGAGGATCACTAGGAGATTCATAAGGGATATCATGGGCATAGACGATGACCTGCTACAAGTGATTTTCGGAGAGGCACTGCTAGAAGAAGAAGAACCGACCGCTTCTTTTTTAGCGGAAGGAGGCCGACTAGGGTCGGAAGCGGAAGAGAGGCTGTTGAGCCGGATAGCGAGGGAACTTGGAGTTATGGTCAATCAATATACTCTCCATCCTCCATCTGACGGGCGAGCGTTTAGTGCCATCGTGGGGAGGATGAAAACTCGAGATGGATTATCTGACGATAACGACGATGGGGTTAAAACCCCTCAACCGCCTCCACCTCCCCCCGCCCAACAGCGCCAACAAGGGGACCCCATGTCCATTCCACAATCCCGCCCCTGCTCCCAGTCGGCAACCTCCACTTCCTCAATCCCGCACTACCAATTCACCCCAACACTTCCCCCCCTCCAACAATCCCCCCACCCAGCGCTCTGGGACATTGAAGAATCCTTACGGGAAGAGAAAGCCGCAAAAGCTGAAGCTGCCAAACGCAAGGAATATTGGGAGCAAGAACTTGGTGTTTGCGCGTTTTTTTCTTTCCTCAAGTCTCGCTTTTCCTCACCTTCCTCACCTTCCTCTCCTACAGATACCGCCTCGACTGAGTCTGCTACAAGGATCACACACCCGCTTATCCCGAGGGCGAGGGCCTACCAGCGCAGGAGGACGGTGGGAGGTGGAGGAGTAGGCGGAGGGCTGCGCTCGGGGAGCACGTGTGCGAGCCAATCGGGTATGAGGGTGAAGACTGGAAAGGGGAGTAGGGGTGCGGGAGGAGGAGGAGGAGGTGTCGGGAGCTCGAGGGGCAGAGGAGGGTTTTATTGGGATGTTGCCAGCAGCGTGGGTAGTGGGAAGAGTTCTTGTGTTGGGGCGGGAGTTTGGGGGCCCGTATAGAGTTTGCTTTTCTGCTTTGGGTTGCTAGTTATTGGGGGGCTGTGTATTCTTTCGTACTCTTCTTTTCGGCCTTTTCGTTGTGGATTTAGTTTGTTGGCTGTCACTATTGCTACTTCCCGTTCGATGTGTGGTGGTGGTGTTTTTTTTTTTTTTTTTTTTGATTCGGTTTAATTGTGGGTTTGGTGTATACTTTCCTTCTCATTTTCTCTTCTCGGAATGCATAATGGCGGGTATATCTTGGGAGTATGTCCTTCCTTTTTCTTTTTCTTTTTAGCCTTCTTTTGTTTGGGGAAGAATCGCAAGTAGCAGCATGCTGCTACACATGCATACGCACAACACTGTACCCGTGCTAGTGTAACATGAGATGGCGCTTTAGCAAGTTTTCTTTTTTTGCATATGATACCATGCGATAGTAGGGTACAGCAGTCGACTTATCTTTGCTTACCTTTCCTTAATTACGATAGAAATGCTTTCCCAACATGTTCTCGTCTTGTATTGTATAAGTTTATCCTTCCCTTGGCATTTGCTTTGGATAGTGGATTGCAGAGGCTCCTAGTAATCATATCACTACTTTACCCCTTCTTTTCTTCTCCTTTTGCATAATATACTAAATTGGGTAGTAGTGAGTGAGTGAGGGGTTTACTGTTGAGTTGTTGGTATGCGCTGATGCCATTGGGGGGCTCTGCGGAGATAACTGATTAGTGGGTTAACTAACTTCTGTAGCTAGGCACGACACTTTTGCTCATCATAGTTGTTGTCTACGAGTACTGTACGAGTACAGTACGTATAGTGTATTACAGTGCGGTGCGGTACTCGAGCAGGATACTACGAGTAGTCTGTCGGCCGTCAAAACGCCCAATAAATCGTTTCCACCCGCAGGAACCTATTTCATTCCTATTGTAGCACCAGGAAATTATAGCGACCTCACCCTTCCACTACCGTGGGCTATGATATCGGGTTATCCTCAGTATAATGTTATAAAACCAAACTTTCACTCAAAACATACAAAACCTCCTTCCCCCCCTCCCCTCGCAATAACCACTGTTGCCGCACCAAGAGCTAACCAGAAAACAACGAGACAGTATCGTAGAGGAGTAGTCACGACTACTGCCCCACCGCAATTATTGGGCAAAACGCCATACAATACGAGCTGCGCCCGAACCCCCTGGAGAATTGTAGAGGAAGGGGCGAGTGGAGGAGCAAATATCCTACCCCTTCCACGAGTCGAGTTTATCCTTGTGAGTAGTTAAAGCAGGAGTGGGACGCGGGGGGGGGGGTACCGGTATTTTGGGTCCAACCAGGGAACGAGCCATCCAGTACTAGTAAGGATAGCAAAATTGGATGATGAAGCAAGGATTGGCCGGAGCAGTACATGTATGATAGGAAGTGGTTAATCAGCGTGATAAATTCTATAAATATTAGATAGTGCTGTGGTATGGCGGAAGAGTACTGTTACTATACTCGAAAAAAATCTCTAGTCAGTCAGTCAGCCAGTCAGCCAGTTGTGCTATGCGTCGAACCATCAGCATCCGCGCGAAGAGTGGGGAGCAAGTCGTCCTTTCCTTCCAATTCTTTTCTCTCCCTCCCTCCCTCCCGACACCTGCGAGTTCGGCCGGCCGGCCGGCCGGACACAAGCTCCTTCCCTAAGGCGAAGGAAACATGGAATATCACTCGGATGTTCTGGAGGTGGTGTTGTCCGGGATGTGTTATATGCAATGAGTGGCTTGTGAATAAAAGCTGGTATGGAATGATGGCTGCGCTGGACAGGAAACTTGTATATATTGGGTCTAGCTATCGGTGTTCTGTTCTGATAGCAATACTTGATATACTATAAGGGTAGACTTTAGATTTGGGGTTTCATGATGCTCCCTAAGTTAGAGCGCACCGGAGCGGTAGTCGGGGGGGTATAAAGAGACTTGTCAAGTCGGGTTTCATGATACGCCTTGCTAAATTTCCATATAATGTCATAGTCTCCCGCGTGCGGTAAGGTCGGCAACAGGCTTCTTTCCACCAACCAACCAGGTTGTAGCCGCCCCGCAGAAGCTATCGGTATTTATATGACAAAAAAAAAAACACAAACACAAACACAAAACCGACATAATCAAATTCTGTACAATGTTTATGCGGTCCCTCAAGACTCGCTGGTTTCATATTTACCCTACGAAGTCGGTCGGTTTGGTTGGCTCCACAATACGGATTGATATTCTGTGAAGATGTGCAAGCAACGTGTCGGTATTGGACCGTGACGGTGGGGGGTTTAGTTAATGACTTATAACTTGGAGAAGGTTTTCTTTCCTCGGTTATCATATAACGCCACAAAATGGCTGCGCACATGGGACCCCGAAATAGAGAGTGGGGGATTGTTTTAAGAGGGGAGGAAAGGAAAGAAAAGAGGGACTGAAACCCTTAAAAATTTGTGACTTGGTTATGTGTGCTGAACCCTCTCCGAGTTTCCAGTCTAAGATACTGGTATGGCGCCTGAAGAATTGTTCACGAATATCGTATTATATACCAATTCTCACTGGGGAAGTCGGTCTGGGGAGATGGTGTGATAAGGGAATTGAGGGTGAGAGATGCGAATGTCATGCTTTCAGATCGCACAAAGAGCCTACCTGGGAGGGTACGGTTCGTCCGAAAGCCCAGGGATTCAGAGGGATTATGCTGGTGATTGCTCAATACCGGTATTCCCGACACTTTCATGCATCGTGTCATACCCACACCCACGGCTACGATAATGCATTTTTGTCCTCCCTGATGTCAAGATCCTTGGTGTGGCCTTTTCTTCTTCTCTTTGTGTGTCCATTGGGGAGGGGCTTCAAGGTTGGTGGGAGGGGGGGGATAAGTATGTGGAGCACCAGAAGTACAGTGTGGTATCATACTCGATCATGATCTTTTCCCCACAACCTGTCAAATCTTTCATCACACATGGGAGCTGTGATTTCAAACGTCGCATAGACACCACTACATAGATCCCCACTTTTGTAGAATGCACTGCCCTTCTCACTCGTGCCCGCCCACTACTTAATTGAGACTAATACCTTATCAGGACACAGACAATTATCATATCGTACCAGAACAGCCCAGACAGTATCCAAACCTTCAAAAAAAAATCAACAACTCCCATTCAAGGGCAACCATGCATCCCCAAACTCCAACTCCTCACATTTCTCTTTCATCAGATAACAAAAAAAAAAAAACCCTTCCATTGGACCCCACCCTGTTTTTTTCTTCTTCTCCATCCATCCCACTTTTCCACCGGTCACAACCCATCACCCACAATGCCCAAGGACGGGAACAATTTCCCAAAGGCTTCCGATTCCCAGCATGATAGCCAGTTGAAAGCCAAACTCTTGGCGCTGCAGTGTAAGGTATGTCTCACAAACGCTCGCGAGTCGGATTAAGTTTTTAAGGCCACTCATGCTTTCCACTCCCGCAGCGGGAACCAATTTACCAACCCGGTTACCGAGAAACTTCACTTTGACCACTTTCGGGAAGTATTACACAACTAAACCAAATCTCCAACTTCAAGCCACCTCTACACAACCCGGGACACAATATCTACAATTCATGTAAACAGTATATGCATTACCCCGCACACTTCTTTGCTGAAGGGTTTTTTTATTATAAAATGGTAGAATCTGGGATTGGTGGTGGTGGAGGAAGCAGTAGCACATATCGACATCGATATCGCGCGCTGCTAGATTCCGATATGAATGACAACGTGGAAAACGAGATGAGCCATAAGGCGGCGAGCACTTCTGCTATCGGAGACGAAGGGTATGAAGTACCTGTACCTAGTTCCAGGTGGTGGACTAGAAGTCGGTTAGTTCTTCCCCCCCCCCCCGATTTATCCCCCCGATAGCTACGATATAATATAACTAAATATGATCCACCAGCTACCCCGGCGCCCTCCTCTTCAACATTTAAACATTTATCCTCCCCGCCCTCTACTCCACCCTTTCAAAACTATGGATCGCCCAAATAGATTCAAAAATGGTTGTAACGACCGATACATGGACATACATCAGTACCGTGACTGAGGTCATAAACGAAGGACTCCCGCGTGCCTCCTTCGTAATTATCGGGGACCGTACTTCCCGCACAATCACCTCGAGAATAGGGATCTCGAATACTCTCGTCATCTTTCAGGCGGTGCTGGGGATGCTGATGTCGGTGATCATTGCGAGTGCGGCGCAGAGGTTCACGGATACTTTCGTCCCAGTGGAGGTTAGGAAGGAGAGTATCACATATGTGAGGATTTCGGCATTCGGGAGTGTGTTTGGGGCTGTGGATTTTGCGGTTAGCTGTGCCACCCGAGCTTTGGACAGGTACGTATAGACCCCCCCCACACACACACCTCCCGTGCTCTTCCCTCCTCGGGGACTAATTGTGCAAGTAAGGACCGGACGTCCCCCTCCTAATCAGCACGGTAAAGACGGCGCTGAACATCATCCTCGACCTCTTATTCCTCTCCAACGTCCGCGTCGGACATGCGGATGTAGACGTAAACACCCAAGCCGTCATCCGCCTCTCCTTCAGGAGCTCTAGCGGGGATATGCTATTTTATGTACGAGACGAGAAAATTATGGATCCACAGACCAGAAGGTGAAGTTGGGTCCAGGAAGCCCAGTGTGCTGGCACTGGTAACGTTGGGTAGGCAGGGGTGGTATACGTTTGTTGAATCTTGTATTAGGAATGTGCTGTATTTGTGGCTGATTTCGGGGATTGTGGCGATGGGGTCTGATTATGCTACGGTGCGTCAATGCCTATGGGGAGGGGATTCATTATTTTCTAACAGTTTGTAGGCCTGGGGTGTGTTCAACACCATCCGCTGGGGACTTGTAATGGTTCCCGTTCAGGCGCTCGAGGCTACGTCTTCTACCTTCGTAGGACACGCATGGGGTGCCTGGCGACATAAAGTTGGAATCGATACTCGAAAGCCAAAAGCTTCAAAGAGAGATATCCGCAGTAAGCTCGCATTACCCGCTTAGAGAGAAAAGGACTAACCCACATTCTTCCCAAGCGATCATGAAACCCGCCATCATATCTGTCGGTGTAGCCCTTCTGATCGAAATCCCCCTCTGCTTCACAATGTCCCTATGGGGCACCCAACCATTCGCCCGCTATCTCTCCGGCTCCGATAAAGTGGCCGGAATAACTGAGTACATGTGGCGGGTTTGTTCCCTCCTTCCTCGAAAGCGTTGTTCTCACAACTAACCCCTACATATTATACAGACTATAGACTGGTGCTACATATTCTATGCCGTCTCCACACAGCTCGCCAGCATCCTCCTGGCGACCCGACCGCGCTGGTACCTTGGCCAATCCCTCGTTTCAAATCTATTCTGGGTATTGCCCTGGGCGATTGTGGTAGAGGTCATTGGACTAAACAAGGACACGGCGTGGAAATGGCATGCGATCATCTTCGGAGGCAGTTTGGTAGTCAGCTTTGTTATTATCCTAGTCGTTCTGGGAGCATGGGCGTGGAGGTTAATGAGTGGGAGGAGCAGGCTTTCGCCGGTTTATTTGGTTGTGGGGTGATGGGGCTTTGAGTTGGTATGATAATTCAGAGGAGAAATAATGTAGCCTAAGTTAACTTACACGTTACCACAAGCACTCGAATATAAGAGGAATATTCCAGAACGTCGTATGCTAGGACGTCGTAATTGCCTCTTGTAGTAAGGCGCTGTGTATTTTTTTTCTTTCTTTTTCCCCGTCCCAGCTGAGGGCCAAGTGCGCAGCGATTTGCCCACCCTACCCAGAGAGGGTGGGAATCCCAAAGACATGGCACATTTCCCTTACACTCGAGCGCCCACAATAGTTGCCCGCCAATAAACACACGAAAGTTTGTCCAATACAGGTAATTGAAACGCCTGTTCAGCAGTCCGTCAATCGATAGTATCATACCATAATTCAGGCAGCACAATTATCCCGACACTTCCCCCCAAGCGCATACCCAAAATACTACCGTAGCAGACGAACAACCAATCGTTTTCTGCGATGGCAAGATTCCGAAGCACATCGTAGTCCCACGTCCCGCCTTCCCAAGGCTAGTTACTGCTGATCACGGTTCATGGTAATGGCGACGATAAAAGGGTTCCTTGCCGGGATTCATATGAACGAAATGGCATGCATAAAATCATGAGTGGAGTAAAGTACCGTAACTTAGTATCAAGTAGCTATTATCATATATACATACAAAACCAATCATCACATCCAACTATATCAGTATGCAAGATAACCCCCAGCCCATGCCCATTTCCCTGACCATTCAGGCCGCACATTCAAGTCATACTGTAACTTGAAAAGACAGGGAGGAAAGAAATAATAACTGGCACCAGCGCAATGGGATGGGTTAGATCCCGACGTGATATCGACTCCAGGAACAGGGACCCGGGTTATCATAATAGTATAATATCATGATAACGGTGGAGGTGGGAGGTCGAGTTTGATGATCGGTATACTCGTAATATAACAACAACAATAATATTATTATTATAATACAAGTAATAATTATATAATGCTCTACCATACAGCAGCGAACATACTGTGCATGGATGGAGTTGGATTGGTCTGGATGGCGGTGGGTGTTTAATTGGCAGTATTAGTGCCGGGCACCCAAAACAGAACCCCTCTTGTCCACTTTTTGGTTGATTGGAATAGGGGGGGGGATTTTTCTACGGTAAAAGAGGTATCCCTTGGTGTGATAAACACTATGACAATAGAAGTATTTTCAATCAAAAAAATATTTTTGCTGCCCATCATGGAATATCACCCGATTTGTCCCTCTTTTGTACCATACAATGTACTGTACTGGTACGAGTATGATACCATGGGGGTTGGTCTCATGCGCCTGACCATACTTCAAGCGTGTAGACTGACTTATGATACCGTATTGCCCTCACCCACTCATGTATGATATATTAGAGCACTGCGAGCTGAAAAGAGAAAGAAAAGAAAAGGTTATACAAAATGCTAGAGAATTGTAGGGTGATAAAATTACCCTGCAGGTATACCACCACCCCATGGCTCACGAGCCCCATTTTCCATTCTATCCCCAGAACGTTGCGTTCCCATTTTCCACTAGTTCAAGCCCCGTCTAACTTACTACAAACACAAGTTTGACACAAAAGGAAAAACTGAAGTTACATGGACGAAACGAAACCGAATCAGGAAATGAAATGAGATAGGGAGATAAAAATAAGCTCTCTCTATCACGTCCCATATTCTCCGCCCAAAGTCCCACCAATGCCGATCCGCCGAACCCATACCCGTACCCGTACAAATCGTCACAATATCATAGAATACCATACCGTACCCGCACATCATGCCTCCCCCATCAAGTCAATCTTCGCATCACACAGCGTAGCTACCATGGCAAACGGAAGCAGGCCAGGGCCACACCATACCATGCCATGCCACATTCTTTTTTTTTCCCGTTTTTCCCTCCCTCCAAACGTCGAACATTTCCGAGAGAAGGCAAGAAAAAGAAAGTAAAAGAAAGAACCGATTGGGTCGGAGAGAAGTTGTAATGGGCTCGCAAAGGGAGATGGAAAAAGAGAAAGAAAAAAAAAGGTGCCCAACAAAACTTCACATTCCGAGGATACCAAGCAAACATTATTTTCTTTTCATTTTTTCCTTTTTGATCGCAATAATCTCGTCAAACAATTGTTTTTTTGTTTCTTCTTTTTTCCCCCCCTCAACAAGCCCATATTCCTACGGTTCCGTTTCGCCGTCCCTGTACCAGGTATCCGTCGTTGACTCTGACCCTGTCCACGATTGCGGCATCGACACCTACAGCTCCACAGTCCCAGTGGCGGCCATCAGCCTTGTCGTAGATTTTGGCGACGGTTTCGCCAGCTGCTGAAACAATGCGCCGAGAGTCGAATTGCATACTTGTAATAGGATTGTCAAATCCGAAGGCGTCAAATATCGAGCCGGTTCGGAGATCCCAAATCTACAGGGATAAATGTTAGCGGACGAACCCCTGGAGAAAGAAAACAAGGCTTGACAAACCCGGATACTTCGGTCAAGAGATCCAGTAACAAGATGCACATCATCAAACTGGAGACATGTGACAGGTCCAGTATGTCCAACGAGCGACCGATGTACTTGTCCACTCCTCACTAGTCGCAAATTATCGAATCAGTATTTCCCCTTGATAAGATAACCGTATAAAACAACCGGACCAGATAAACTTACAGTCCCACAACCTAACCATTCCGTCCGCAGTTCCACAAGCAAGAGCGGCATCAAAGCATTGCAACGCGCCAACAAAATCCCCCTCGTGGCCACTAACACCACCTGCACTCCTTGCTCCGTTCCTCCATTTGCCCTCATCCATATTGCTCTGAGCCGCAGCCCAAAGCACATCCAACGTCTGGACACACCTTCCCTTGACGAGATCCCACTGTCTCAGGGTCTTGTCCGCACTACCAGAAACCAGTGTATCACCCTGAAAATAGAGAGCGGTAACCTCGTCAACATGAGAATCAAGAGAGAAAACGTAGCATTCGGATAACGATGGGAGAGCGAATTCTTGAACCAATGGTAAAGCTTCACTTTCGGCCTCATCCTCATCCTCATGGGTGGAAGAAGCGGAGGAAGCGCGTTTGTTAATCGATGAGCTTGTAGACGGAGGGGTAAACTTGTAACTTTCGGCACGAGACAAATCCCAAAGACGGATAGATGCATCCACAGACCCAGTAGCAACCATATTGTCCTCAACCTGCAGGCATCGCACAGAGGCTTGATGGCCTTCAAGCAGCCCCGTGCATCGTCCAGTGTTCATGTCCCAAACCCTTATGGTATCGTCAAATGCGGCAGTTACCAATGTGCCGAAAGGTACATCAAAATCCAAACTTGTGATGCTATCTGCATGCGTCTGGATTTCCTTGATATTCTGACCGGGCTCCAAATGTTCGTGAAGAACGGGCATTGATATGCGGCGAGATGATTTCCGTTTTCGTGACTTGGGAGTGTTTAGTTTACCATATATAGACTCGGACATGAAAGTAGAGTCTTCGGAACGGTTGTCGGATTCGGGATCAGTGGAGTGATGATTTTCCTCGTCGAGTTCTTCTTGGAGGTCTTCAATTTTATTTTCTAGAACCAATACTGTGCGCGAAGTTAGCAACGAATGATAGCAAGTATACTATTCTTACTAATATCGCACTGTGCTATTTTCTTGGGGGAGGGTCGTAAAATACTCTCGTGCTCTGCTTCTGCTTCGTCCTGCTCCAATTTTGCCAATCGATCCAGGACGATGTTCCGCATTTGATTCAGGTTTGATATCTTCATATCTATCTCCCTAATTTCCGATGATGCCATGTTTTTCCTGATGCTTAACATCTCCAACTGTCTTGCCATGGTGGACTTTTCACGCTTGAGATTTCCGAGAGGTGTGTCTGGTTCGCCTCCATTCGAGGCTTCCAAAAGTTTGTTTTTTGAGCCTTTGCGTGGGTGGTTCTTCCCCACCCTCTGGTGCTCCTCGGGCATGGAGGCCTGAAAGCCCTGAAAGAGGGAATAGGAATTCTCATTATCGGGGATATTCCTGAGCAGTTCATCCGGTAGATAGGTTAACGCTCGATATTGTATCTCGGCGGTAGACAGTTTCGACCGCACAAGCTCCGTTGGAGAGCGTTTGTTAAACGAAAACACGCGGCGCTGGAGAGAAGGGCGGTGCGATAATTGTTTGGAGATATCAGACATTGCGGCGGCATAGTGTTGGGGTGGAGCGGCTGGATCCGTAAAGAGAGTTCCAGCAGTTGCAGAGACGGTACGGCCGAAAGCCGAAATGTTCTGACCCTGAATAGGAGAGTTGAAAGGTTAGACAATTATCAGCTAAGCTGAGATATGGAATCAAGTCAGGAGTGGAGATGAACAAGAAATAACTAACCGCAACACTGGTCAATGCATTACTTATGATTGTTGCGTCACCCTCTTCAGTTCTAGGACGGTCCAGTGTTGAAGGGGAACTGCCATGACCAGTATTAGAAGCCATGACATTCCAAGAGAGAGGCGGCGACTCGGGAACGATTGTGACAATGCAGTGGATAAATTACAGCATAAGCGGTGGAAGAAATGTGTGGAGAAGAAAAATGTGTAAAGGGGCTCGCTATCGCTGTCGAGGTGAATCTGGGTAGTGGGAGAGAGAGAAGATAGTAGACCCAGGGCAAGTAGTTACAAGTGAAGATAGAAGAGAATCTTTTGGAGTTAAGGTCACCCCTCCGCCAAAAATTTCAATGGCGCGCATGAGGTTTTGGGGCTCGTGAAGAGTGCTTTGTGGCGCTAATATCATACCTTACTCGAGGGGAAAGTGTGGCTAACCACCCTCATCCTCGGCCAGACAACTCACTCGTGCAGGCAACTGAGGCATCACTTTCAACGCTCCTCTTCCAATCGGCCATTAATATCATACCTTTTTTTTTTTTCCTTCCAAAAGGAAACAAACTCCTCAAATCGGCTTTTCTCGGCTGCATCCACACTATCATTGCACCCTACATACATTATGGGAGTTAGTCTAACCGGCTCTCCAGATATCAACTCTAAAACAGTGAAAATTGACACACATGCCAGCTAGATGCAAGGTATCTCTCTCTTATGAAAATAGTACCAATTGATACAAAATATTTCACCCATTTCCGCTAATGTCGTCGATTACAATGCCCTTACCATCTACCCAGTCCAAGTCTAAAAAAGAGGCAGCCGCTAGTATCATAGTTGTACTAAGTACTCGTAGAGAGCATTGGCTGTGCTAGATCAGAATGGATAAGCGTCGCCCGCTATTTTAGTAACGTCTGTTCGAGTCCTCAATGGATATTTTGCCATCTACCCGAGAATGGGCAACGATAAGTTAAATAACAAGTTATTGATTTTGGATGACTGGACCGAGTGAGTGATAAACATGATTCCATCAACACCATAGACCTGCTTCTCCATGTTCAATTCTGTGTACAGCTTTAACCGTGCCTTTACATCCCCCCGACTGGGATTCCTCAACCCTTCCCCAGATTTTCTTACTGGCGTATCAAATGGTCTCATTGCATACCCCACCACTTGACAGCCACCGGTGGTAGCTCTATCTACGGGCTGCGAATTTTGTTCACAGATCGCAACGGTTTCCCCCCCCCCCTTCTTGTTCCGTTCGGATGGTAAATCAACAGGAATTACTAGCTGTAGAGGCAGAGCTAACCTAAAGAATTGCTGGTGGTGTTTGCGATAAATGAGTACGAGTGCAGATGATCAAACGTACCCCTCATAGCTTCATATACTCGAGTATAAGAGGCATTGTAATGATGCTCAACATGGGGTGGGCATGTGTATTTGGAATTATAGTACAACTATCACATCTTTTCACCATCACTGCGACCGCACCCCCCCATCCCCGAAATAATGGAAGTAAGGCTCCGAGCCACCCGATACCATAGTGCAACACAATAACGTGGAAAAACAAGATAATCGAGCACTCCTAGTAACCGTCAACCCCAAACCATTGATTATTATATATGCAGGAGAGGGCGGATAAACGCATCGAAGCCCTCATGTACAGTATACGAGTACTCGAGTACCCGTCACCTTGGTTATTCTAGGACAACCCCCAGCGCCATCGTGCCCCGGGGAGGGTGGTGCTCAGGTACGAGTATTGTCCTGGACCCAGGATAGGAGGTGGAAATGGTCAGTCTCCTCTGAGAGGGAAACAATGGAGGAGAGGGGCTGTTCAAACGCAACAAACTACCGTATTCAACGGATAGCTTGTCTGAGCGTACTCGAGTATGTAAGGCACTGCATCCCCTATGGTTTTAGTGGACGGTTCGTGTTGTGCAGGATACTAGGGCGCCACCAAAGTGCTTTTAATTCCTACAAGTATCGGCCAGATGGATGCGTAGCGAAGTCAGTGGTTATCAAGTGGCCCTCGCAGTAATCATGAGAAGGTATTCCAACTCCTGCTTTACTCTGTGAGCCCTCAATCCATAGTTTTGTCAACTCAAGCGGCTCCCTTCGAGACATCTGGTCATGGAGTGGGGAAATCGGAGGGGGAGGGATTGGCGGGGTGATAAAAACTGAGGTTTTGTGTGCTCAAGATATCATACTTGTACACGAACCGATTCTGGTAATGGCAACTTTGAAGCAATCCGAAGTGCCATACTGGCGCAATGTAATCGACTTGGGCTTTTTCCCCCAAAAACAGCACAGCAACGCCTCGACAGTGCTGTCACCACTTAGATTTGCTGAGTCATCATCGAGTCGGAATTTTTTTCTCCTTCACCCACCCGGTGTTTACTTTTCGCGGGAAAAAAAGTTGTCGTGCCTCACCTTAGCCCCCCCCAATTCAACTCAATTGTATGGGCTGAGGATTCAGGCACAATGGCACATGCTGCTGTGAGAACTCAGTTGATTCTTTTTACTGTAGGGATAAAGGAACGACTGATGCTTAGCCAGGATGCTACGAATATACGAGTACTCGAGTAGTTATTTCCCTTCCATTCCCTTCCGGAGGCTTGAGTGGAAGAATGGGGAAAGACATCCTTGGCTATTTTGAATCCTGCAGAGCTTATCGTGGAACCGCTCTCAGTCTTTCCTGGCCACGGTTCTGGTTCTGGACATTGCGAGAAAGTTTCTCAGCCTTGATGCACAGATGTACTCGTACAAATGCACCATTACTGCCACTGGAGCACATGTACTCGTACTCGTACAGTACTGTACTCTAAGTGGTGTGATATCGTTATCGCAATTGGTTCTCACCCCGATTTTTATCTGTGTTTATGGCTTACCTCTTCGCACGGGCACACAAAGAGGAAGAAAGCGACAACTGGTGCAGAGTTGTTATAGGCAGCTCCGCATGAGGTTCTCTATCTCGAGCGCGATACCCCGCCCCACCCGGCATAGAGACCAAATCGTGGGGTTGTTCTATCACGGTATTACTCGAGTATACTTTGTGGTAGGTTGAAAGGAGCCAACATTGGGAAGATGTCCAAAAGAAAAGAAAGACTTGGGAGACGCTGGCTGGCGGCTCGCTTCCTCCCGTTGGCTCAAGTGAGGGATGTCGCAAAGGTTTGGAGTGAGCCGTGGAGGTGCCTGGCGCGACAGGCCGTGCATCTCATTTCCCCGAGTATCCCGCTAACCCGTTTCGGGTTCACGAGTACTGTACAACAACGTTTCTTAGACCTGGCTCGCCCTTGCAGCCCTGACAGCCATGATTCCTAATTTTGTCCACGAAGAGAGGTTTCCCCTTCCTGGGTTACCCCTAGGTTTTTTTACCCCATTAGATACTTCCCCCGTGCGGAGCACCCCCCCCCAATGTTTTTTTTGTGTGTGTACTCGAGTATTGTAGCTCCGTCCGCCCTTCCTTTCCCACCAGCAGTCCCTCGACTGCTTGTCAGTTCGTCAGTCAGTCACTCGCCTCTCGTTTCGACCAACCAATTTTCGCTCCTTCACCACTGGTACAGTACTCGTACACTAACCTACTGCTGCTTTTCCTCCCACACTCTTTTTTCCCTCCTAACCTATTCCTCTGGTCACTCGTTCTGCATTTTCTGTTCTCTCGCTGCTCGGGTTTTCCGGGACGCCCTCTCCTACAGTACTGTGACCCCCCCCCCTCTCTTTGTGTTGGGTTAATTACGGTTTGTTTTTCTCTTGCCATTTCTGTGCTGCTGCTTTTGCTGCCAGAGTGAAATTTCTTCCCTCCCCTTCAAATCCCCCCAAGCCAACTTTGGAAAGTGATTGCCTGCTCGAGAGAGCTGGCTGCCTGGGGAATTTGGGTTTGGGTCGATGAGTGTGGAGAGAATTGCGTACATCGGACGCCGTTCCAGTGACTGCTACCCTTACGAACCGCAGAACTTTGACCGCGCGGCAGTGGGCTTAACAATACCTTTGGATTGTGATGCCTTTGCAGAATCAACCTCCAACATGTCTTCTTCTCCGCCATCACAAAAACGAAGGACGACATTGAGCCGGTCGAGTTTTGTCATTTTGTCAACGCTGTTCATACCGCTAGCGGCTGCTCAGGCAGCTGGGAGCTGTATTTCACTAGCTACTTCTCGCACCTGCACGGCTTTTAACAGTTCCTCTATATCTACTTCAAACGCTCTGGTTGGAAATTTGTATTATCCCACGCGTCTCGTCGGTGAATCGCGGGCGAGAGTGCTAATGTCATCTTAGCCCTTTTCTTCAATATGTCGCCAATATAGAGCAGTTCGACAATCAATTCGAACAATATATCAAACAAGATTATGCCAAACACAAGTAAGTGGTGACGGAGTGTGTTTGCTATGGTACTTGTATGGTTACTGACATGCACTCAAGGTTTCAAGATTTGTTTGGTTGTTCGAACCTCACGCTTTCCAATACTACTGAGTTATATGCACGTTATACGCGGAGCGTCCTATGCTCCCGAATGATTCAAGATTCACGAAAACTATGTTCGCTTTCGAGCCATGCCTCAACCCCCATCTGTGCGGATACTTGCGTATGTATTCTCGGTGAAATAAGTGAACTTCTCTAACATGGATTTTTTAGGCTGAATTCGCGATCAGCGAACAAATAATTATCTCAAATGAGGATACTTGTGGAAGCAATTCGGCAGATACTCTTGACTTGATACGTTCCGACTTCACCATCTGTGCCTTGCCATCAGATTCTCTCTCGGGAAAATGTATTCAAGGGGAAGAGAACGAATCTTACAATTGCGGTTACAAGTGGGTTCCCCTGAGTCTGTTTTTATACCACGTGACTTACAGACCCAATAGCGAGAATTTACCTGGACTGTGTCTCTATTGCGCTAGCGGTTCACCAAATTCGACGGATACATGTTGTTACAATTCGAATGCTCAAAAGAGATGTGCTGACGTTGACCTCCCAACTGCGACCGCCTTGCCCCCTATATTCACCACTTCTTCAATCCCGTCGGCAACTAGCTCATCAGGTTCGGGTAGTTCGGGTGGCTCGGGCAGTGGAAATGGGCTTTCTGGAGGTGCGATTGCTGGAATTACAGTTGGTGCTCTTGTTGGAGTGGCTCTCGTTGCTTTCCTTGTATTATTCTGCCGGAGGAGGAGACGCGGTGTCCCCTCACCTACTTTCACTCAGCCAACCCGAACCTACAGAAGCCCGTCAATAACTTTTAATCCTGTCGCAAATGTGCATGCTCAGGGATACGAGGTTCTCGCTGGGGGCCGGATCGCCAGAATGTCTGCTCTTGAAACGACTAACATTGCATCGGAGGGCGACCCATCATCTCCAGCAGTCATTGCTAGCGGTGGCCGTAGGGTTATCGGCAATAGCTCGTCGTCTTCCGATTTCGGCCTGGAGGATAGCCCTGAATCGCATAACCAGCGAAAATATTCACCCCAAGGTCGCCCATTACACCCACCACCACGTGACCGAAATGCCTCTCTATCTAGTACCTCAATTCTAGCCCCTGATAACACAACTTCGCCTATTACGGAAAGCGATAGGGGACCTTCTTCCCCTCAATTTCCTAGTCCACAATCGGAACAATTGCCATTCTTCAAGGTATGCCCTTTCCATGTAAGTTTATTTCAATATTCGATGCACTAACATTGTATAGGACTATTATTCGTCCGATGATATGCACCCGGGCGATAAGGTGGCGGTTCTCTGGGCATATGCACCACGAGCCCCCGATGAATTCGAACTTGACAGGGGTGACATGATTAAAATCGTGGGCATCTGGGATGATGGTACTGTATCCTGAATTCTTGCGGATATCTTCAAGTTTTGCTAATAATACAATGCTAGGGTGGGCGACCGGGATCCGCTTGAGCGAGAGGGCTGAGGATTTCATTAATCGCCGTCACATGCGCGATAGTGGGATATCTGCTTCACAGATGTCGCAACGTCGGGCATCCTCTCCCCCTCCCAGGGGTGAAGTTAAAGCCTTCCCTTTGGTATGCGTTTGCTTGCCAGAACATTGGCACAAAACCATTGAGAGTGATACCCAGGGTACTGAGTTTGCCTCGCAAACCATGGGTGATCCAGCGGAGGGAAGCAGTATAAAAGAAGGTCGGCTGCCGGATGACTCCAACACAGAGAGATCATTTTCTCCCGAGCGAAGGCTAACCCTCAAGGGTTCTAGTCGGTTCCGAGAAGACCTGAATGTCCCTCGAACTGGATCCTCACCGCCCCCTTGAATTTGATGCTAAAGGTAAATAGTCAGATTGGAAAAATGAAAATGGTCCCCCGACCTTATACTTCCGTCATTCTTGTTTCAATTTCAGTCATGGTTTGGGTTGGTGAAGGAATGCTCGGGTTTTAATGATGTTACTTTTATTGTTCCTGACTCTGTTCTCTCTCTTGTCGGGTCACTGTATCCTTTTTTATTTATTTTTATTTTGTCCTGTTAAATATTCTTTTTAGCGGAGTTTGGCTGGCTGTACTTTTTTCTTCCTTTTTTTCCTACTATTCCCCCCCCCCATAACGTGATCTGCATCTGCACCGCAGCATTGAAAACAAACAAACAAAAGGAAGGAAGGAATCCAGCAGTAGTAAAAAAACCCTTTTTTTATTTTCTCTTTGTCGTTCCTTTTGCGGTTAATTTATACTATACCCTTTCCTTTATCTTTTCTGTTTCCCCCTTGAATAGATGATGGGGGGATTATGTTTTTGCGATGCGATGCTATGCGATGTAAGCTAACTACTCACACATCCCCTTTCATCCTCCCTGCTACCCATCCACCTGCCGGACTTACCCCCCACTCATACATGAGCCAAGCACATGCGAAGCATAGAATTTGTTTTCCTTTCGCTTTCCTCCCTCCCTCCCTTCCGCTTCCACCTGCCTCGTGCAGGGCGCGGCGAGGTAAGTTAATATTGGCGTGGTAATGGTCAGGGTGTGTGGTGTGTGAAAGGCTGGTTCGTTCCCTCCATATTATTTCATTCCTCATACACTATTCACTTGAATCGGTGGCCTCTTTGCTTCACTTCTGCTTGCTTTCTGTATGGATGGATGGTAGGGGCTCTGATTATTCTGTTATGGATTGGATTGGGGGGGGTTGGGTTTGGGCTGGTGTGATAGGATATTTGATCAGGGTTTAGTTTGGCTGTGCGGAGTGGAGGGACGTGATAGAGGTGGACTTTAGTAGAAGTGTTGCGGCAGCCTGCGTGCTTGGTTTTGATAATGAAGAGAGGGTGTCGGTCGGGGGGAGGGAGGGTTATTTGTAATATGACTGGATGAATTATTGCGAATTTTATTATATTATATATATTTTATTCTACTGCTGTTGTGCTTGGTTTTGTTATCGTATCGGACTTGGGTACAGGTTTGATCTGTGCGAGTGATGTTTTGTGTATTTGAGCTTAGTACTGTACTGTACAGGACATTATTCGAGTATGAGTAACGCTAGAGTTGTAACCGGGGATTGGCCAACTAAACCTTGTCGCTGGAGTTCATGCAGTCCCAAAAATTGACTGGATGATGCATGTTCGAGTGGCACTGAGCTCACTTCCGCTTTGTAGTAATAGCGCAGGGGATGGGCGCTGTTAACATTACCAGGCGCACATGTCACGTTTCAACAGAATGGTGGTCTGTATCAGATACAGTAAAGAGCCCTCGTAATGACGTATCCATTTCATGGGAATTCTGATGTTTCATTAACGGAAAGAAAAAAAAAACCTCATTCCCTAGAACACGAATGCAAAGGGTACGGGAGTGCCCTAAGCTCTTATATAATAAAGAAAAGAGAAAAGAGAAGAAGAAAAAGCTAACTTTTTAAAAATGAATTCGGTTTTTTTAGTAACCTAACCTAGATATACATAAGCTACATCTACGAAAGAGTGTGGGCACGACGACGATCCCTTTCCTCAGCGATAGTCAACTGTGAATTTCAGATTAGCGGATGGTTCATGCGGAATACAGAATGGGGGAAGTGAGAGATATATATGCGAACCTTGACACCCTTGCCCTTTGGCAGGGAGATCCATGGCTTGTCCGGGCCGACGATAAAAACGTTGCTAAGGCGGGTAGCAAAGGTGTTGTCGATAGCGTCCTTGATGTGAACGATATCAAAACCACCATCGTGTCTCTCGCGGTGAGTGATGACACCAACACGACCCATGTTGCGGCCACCGGTAGCCATGGCGATTGTACCGGTATCAAAGCGGATGAAGTCGATGATCTTTCCGGTCTCGATATCAATCTTGACAGTATCGTTGACACGGATGGTGGGGTCAGGGTAGCGGATGGTGCGGGCATCGTGGGTAACGAGATATGGGATCCCCTTAGCGCCCAACTGAACACGCTTGACCTTTGCGAGCTTGTAAGAGGCCTCGGTCTCGGTGATGCGGTGGATGGTGAAACGTCCCTTGGTATCGTAGATAAGACGGAAGCGCTCGCCGGTCTTTTCGATGGTGATAACGTCCATGAAGCCAGCGGGAAAGGTAGGGTCCGTGCGGACTTTGCCATCGACCTTGACGAGACGCTGCATTACGATGGCCTTGACTTCTCTATTTATCCCGTTAAGATGTTTCTCGAAATTTGAAGCGGGGAGAGACTCACCTGCTGTTGAGAGCATACTTAAGTCTGTTTCTAATGAAAACAACTAGAGGCATGCAGTCCCTCAACTTATGGGGGCCTGGTGACAAGACCCGTCAGCAAAGACGAGCCCGGAGACTACTTCAACAAGTGAAGCGAAACATACCAGGGGAAGGTCTGGGAGCGTATTTCCCAGAAAGTTTATCGAGCAACCAATGAGAGGGGGCATTAAGCCTCTTCAAGTGCTTCTTTCTATTGTAGACGTGGGAATTAGCTTTATATCCACCACGTGCAGAAATTCGAGGGAGGATCTGGTAGATCTGGGAATTGAGAGCATCCAAAGTGCGAAAAGGCGAAGCTTCGACATCGAAAACTCGAGCTGTGAAATCTGCTGCGCCAAACCCCTCGATGGATCCAATCCTCCCCCCGTGATCTTCCTGACCCCCCACCACGAAATCCAGGGTTTTTTCGAGGGAGGCTTACGGTCCACTAAGCACAAAATGTTAGCTGAATTAATTTGCAGAATTTAGGGAATTTTGTTGTGGAAACGGACCGAGCCATGTTTTTGTATTATGAGACTTTAGGGAGAGTTGTTGAGGGGTCTCTTTGCTGCTGCTGTCGTGTGTTGTCGTTTGGCGTGATGTCTGGCTGATTGAGCTGCAAAGGTTAGGAAATTTTGGGTGGGAGTATCCACTCAGTGGAACGGAGTTTGGCACAGTCACGCTATTACATTAGGTCTCCAAGCCCTAAGGCGTGGTATGATATCGTAATTAGAGCCTCAGGATCTTGATCACCAATAAGATCAGATAACGCCAAGGAATGGGGTGCAAAGCTCAATGTCTCCATGAACAGCAACCACAATGCAAGTAACGAGCGCGACAAATTCGTGACATATACCCTCACGACTCCCAGAGCTAAACACAAACCCCTCGCTACAATGTCAGTCACCCTACATACAGACGCTGGCCCGCTAAAGATCGAGATCTTCTGCGAAGCTGTGCCGAAAACAGCGGAGAACTTCCTCGCCCTCTGCGCATCCGGCTACTTCGACAACTGCCCCTTCCACCGCAATATAGCGGGCTTCATAACACAGACCGGAGACGGCGAGTTGGGCAACGGAAAGGGCGGGAAGTCGATATGGGGCGGGAAGTTCGAGGACGAGATTAAGCCCGCGCTTAGGCATAATGTTCGGGGGGTTGTAAGCATGGCGAATTCAGGACCAAATACAAACGCTAGTCAATTTTTTATCACGTATGGGGCACATCCGCATTTGGATGGGTTGAATACGGTTTTCGGGAAGGTAGGTTTTCCCGTTCTACGGCAACCCAGGGTGGGATTTCAAGGTTGGGGAGGGCGGGACTGATTGTTGGTGCTAGGTTATCGATGGGGTTGATTCAACGCTGGATAAACTTGAAGTTGTGGAGGTGGATAAGAAGTATCGGCCAAAGAACCCAGTCAAGATTCAGAGGGTTACGATACATGCTAATCCTCTCGCTGATATCGATGGCGGGGATTGAGTGTGAGTCTGTTGCAGTTTGAGGGTATGGATGAACTTTTCGGTAATTTGGGATGTTTACGGCACAGCTCTTGGGTTGAGGAAGGACAGGGCTCTTAATGTAGCTAAAGTTATGGCGCTTGTTGTGGGGCTTGTATTTCTAGAACATATCGTGTCTCTGGCTGTTTATGCATAATACCCGAGTGTTAATTCTAGATTGTTGCATTATTATTACCCCTTGTCTCTCCCTATGGTGTCGGCACCCCAAAACTGCGCCCGGAAATGTGGGGCTCCCAGCCTGTTGCAATAGTGGTGTCCGAACTATGTGATAGATAGTTGACATCGTTCTCTCCGCCGACCGTGTAAACCGCTAGCTAACATTATCATGCTATTGTATACGTTTGTGGTATTTACTGTGTATATGGCAATATATGCGAAACCTAACAAGTAATACTCGAGTAAGTTCTGATTCAGCCCAAACCCAGTGTCGCATCCGAGTATTATGCAAGTATCATTGCCAGGAGCGGAAGTTCTTAGCTAGCCAGGTCCGTGGGTAGTTGTGTGACTTGTGTCTGAGATCTAAGCTTTCTTTTGTGCTCCTATATTTTGCTTTTCCATGTGTGGAATGTTTCAATAGGAACCTTTTGTGTTCTCGGGAAAAGGAACATGTTTGAGGAACCCGAGTGATGTTTCATGATAGTATACCCTTGGCACTACCCTGAGGTTTGTTTGTTTGTTGGCTATCTAAGGGGTTATTTCCAGGTTAGTTCTAGAACTGCGGTGTAACCTCAACTTAACTGAAGGTAGAATGTCGTGTTTTGAAGGTATGATATATACATATACCAATCCCGTGGCGATAGCACTTAGGATTCTCGAGGTCAAGTGAATGCATATTATTCCTGCATATATTTTTGTCGGTTCCCGGAGAGCTATCGTATTGCTAAGGGGAACCCCGGAGTGTCTTACTGTAAGCATTTATCGGAATCCCCGAAGGAACCCCGTTCACGGTGTTTGGGAAGGACATGTCAGGTACGGATATGACCGTAGGGTAGTAAGGGTTGTGTACTCGGGGAGGCTCTAATTTGCCAGGTCGAATTGGGTTGAGCAGTCTAGCCGTTACAGTACTCGAGTATAAAACAAATTGGAGTCGAGGATCAAGTTAAGGTTCCTGGGGACACTGATAAGGTAAGCACACATTTTATTTTACCGGTTAGCATTCATATTGCTGCTCAAGACTACAAGATATACTCCAGTGGTATTCTGCCTCTTATTAACATAAGAATGTTCCCAGTTTGTCTTGCATGCCCTGTGACCACCTCGTCAGTGGAGTGAACCATGGGCTGTTACTATTCTTGCCCATCCAATATTGTAGAGCGAGTAAACTTCTTAGGATTCTCTGATTTTAGATTTTGTGGAGTGCAAATGTGACTTGCGGGAAGCAGATATGATGTCTGATTACTTATCCTAAAATCTATCCTCCCGCAGTGAGCACATTATGGTCTGGTCTACTAAGCTGTCTTCGGGAACATGCTATGGGGTTTGTCTCTTTCGTACCAGATGTTTGGCATCGAATATTGGGATCAAGATATTGGAATATCCGTGGTTTGTTTGACAGAGGGTTTTTCACCCCTTCTCATTTTTTATTTTAAAAAAGCTCCCTGCTGGGTATCTGCATTTCATGGTAGTTCTTGAGGTATTAAGCTAAGAGATATATATCTTTAGTCTCCTCCTTTACTAGAATATTCGTGCTTTAGGTTACATGTTTATGGCTTTTGTATTTGTCTGCGTACAGTACGGTACATCCCATTTCAACCACCAGTCTCCGTGGCCATTGGGAAACGCCTCTCGCGTGCATATTGAGAGCATAATATCATCAGAAGATCCAACAACTGTAGGAGGCATGGCAGGAAGCCCACAAAGCCGGCTTGGTGGTGATAGAATCTGTGTAATGCGGGTCGTAGATTTTCCCTCACTAATGGAGAAAGCCAAACCTCCGAGTCACTCTACATTCACCCGTGGAGTCTCCATGCCTATCAACTCGGACACCATTCCAGGTAAAATCATCTTGTCCACTCTCCATCATTATCTAATCTAATCAATCTGATTATCACGTCATTAATTTCTTGGCATCCCTCAGAAAAAAAAGGCATAAATCCCTCCTTGGTCCAGTTCTTCAACCCTCTTTATCAGATCAACCAAAGCACCCCACCAAACATTCCTTTCTGCCCCACCAAACATCTGGACCTCGACACAATACAAAAAAAACTCTCCCGAAAGCACACCCGACGAAGGAGAAATCCGCCGTTAAGATGATCATTCAGATTAAAAACGAAGAGGAGGTTACTGCGATCCTCAATAAGACTGATGGACTTGTCATTCTTAACTTTTACGCCGCTTGGGCGGAGCCTTGTGCTCGGATGAATCAGTGAGCAAGAGCTTGGATTTGACTCTTCTTTTAACTTGGTTTGCTGATAAACCATCTAACTAAAATTAACACAACAGGGTCTTCGAAGCAATTGCAGCCGAGTATCCTGACGCGGCAACCTACCTCTCCATTGATGCGGAAGACGAAGCTAACGCCTCCACCACCGAAAAATACGACGTCTCCGCTGTACCATACTTCCTCTTCCTGAAGGGTGAAGCTGTGCTCGAGCAAGTCTCGGGCGCAGACCCGGCACTGCTAAAGTCCGGCGTGGAAAAGCACAGTGGCGTTGGAAGCCTCAACCTCCCCGCCAAACAAAGCACTGCCAACCCTAGCTCCACCGCCAACGGAGCGAGCGGTGAAGGAGGAGACGAAGGCATTGTGGAAGACATCAACGTCCGCCTTGAGAAACTTGTCAGCGCCGCGCCCGTGATGCTCTTCATGAAGGGCACTCCGTCCCAGCCGCAGTGCGGGTTCTCCAGACAGCTGGTCGCGCTGCTCAGGGAGAGGGAAGTGCGTTATGGCTTCTTCAATATCCTTGCCGACGACGAGGTTAGACAGGGATTGAAGATTTTTTCTGACTGGCCGACCTATCCGCAATTGTACAATGAAGGGATTTTGGTTGGGGGGTTGGACATTGTGAGCTTTTCTTTTTCTTCTATCCCCTGTATTTTTCTTACACCCTCGTGGATTGGTGAGATAGAGCTAATGAAAGAGATGCAATAGGTTAAAGAGGAATTTGAAAACGATCCCGACTTTCTTCGCCCTGGAATCGCGACTCCTACCACGGATTGAAAACATGTGATGGGAAATTAAGAAGCAAAAAAAAACAAAAAACTAAGAAAAAAAAAAAATTTGATACCGGTTTCATAGCCATTAGTTTAGTAGTAGTGGCTTTTAGAAAACAAGAGGAATGGAAGCATTAATACCACCACCGCATGGCAAACCATCCCACAGCCTTATAATCTGTGGCCGTGACTAAACCTCAACCAAGCCGACTCTCATCCTCCCCCTCCCCCTTCTCCTTCCCATATCCCTCCCCACCGTCTCCACCACCACCTTCCCCCTCCCTTCCCTCAACATCCAACTGCTGCTGCAAGACCATAGAATAAACCGACGCCTTCAACAACGTGAACACCAACCCCGTCTTGCGCTCCAGTCCCCTAAGCGAGTCCAGTATCTTTGCAGTTGGCGTTCCGGAGATTGCGGCGATGGACGTTGACAGCTAGCAGGGCGGATCAAGAACAATCAGTATCGGGGAGAGGGGGGAGGGGAGAGGGGAATATGAGGGCGGAAGCAGGAGGGGAAGAAACATTATTCATGTTATGCAGTAGACGGGTATATTCATCCAGGATTTCCTGTTCCAGCGGGGTTAGGAGGCCCGGGCCCGAGACTGGGGAGTGGTGGGGCGGGGTTGTTGACATTGTTGTATATTGTGATGGTGGGTGGGGATGGAGGCTTAAAATTAAGGTTGGTTGGTGGTGGTGGTGGTGGGGTGATAAAGGTAGAGTTGCTTGGGCTGAATTAAATTTACCGGTGTTTTGTTAGTGGTTGCATAGTGCTGTATCGGTACAGTATTGTCCGGGGACAAAATTAACTAGCTGTCAACGGCCGGAAAATCTTCGGTGATGACAACCACACTCCCCCACCAACCCACTATCATGAAAACCCAAAAGAAAATTAAAAAATATAAATACATAGTAGAAATTAATATTTAGTATACCATCCATCAGCCTTAATAATTGCTTCCACCCTATCCACCATTGATCCTGCCAAAGTATCAAAAACCTTTTGGTCCAGAAGTTCCCAACAAAGAGTAATAGCCTCCTCTATAATTTTTTTGATCTCATTGACAGGGCCCTTCAGGAGAAACAGCTCAGGATAGTGCTTATGAAGCTTGTCTTTCACCAGAGACCAAACATTTTCAATTGGATTGAGGTCTGGTGAATAGGGAGGAATTTCCATCAGAGAAATTCTATTTCTCCTGATCCATCTCCTGAAAGGCAAGTGAGTCTTAGCATTGTCAATGATCAAAAATACCTCTTCCTCTCCAACATGCTCCTTGATATCCTCCCATATTCCTGGAAAGTCATATTGATCATAAACATCAATAATTGACTTTCCAGTTACTCCACCTCTAGCAGAAGTAGGATCAGGAAAAACAGGTAAAAAAAGACCATGAGTTTGACCATAGAAACAACTAGTCATCATCTGACTAATCTTTCTCTCTCCTTTCCTAGCAGTAGGTTCAATACAATCCTTATTCCACTTTTCTTTTGGACATCTAAATACCGATTTTCTTCTCTTTAGGTTGGTGGTGGGGTCTAATGGTGGTGAATACCGTCTAGAGGAAGTGCTACGGATGGGATAGGGGGCGAAGCCCCCTCCTCCGTCACATTCCCCTAGAGAGTAACATATTTAAGAGCGATACAATTTATCAATTACATTAAAGAACACGCAATTCCCATCCATCCATTCCGCATCGCCCAGTTCGCTAAGCGAGGGTCATGGTTAAAGCAACCTATAACTGGGCGACCGTGAACTACCTGAGTTTTCTGACAGTACTTGTCCGTACTGGTGAACTCAGCCTGTGAACCGAACCAGCATTTAAATACATCCATACGCGTAAATTCCATATCATCGAAAACCACATACTTGTAAGTCTCGTGATACAAGGAAAGATTAAAGAAACCCGAAAAGAAAATATGAGACCCTAAACTCCACGCCCATTCGGTCTTACTGGTCCTTGTAGGACCGTATAAGATCTAGGCCAAAGGTCGTAAACCAAGGATACCCCTACATGAATCATCGCGATACAATGAAAGCCAACCATTACACCAAACCACCAAATCTGAAGGCAAATCCCAACTCTCAACAGGATAAGGAGATCTATATACATTTTCTATGCTTGGATAATGTTTCTCCGCTACCATGCGAACGTTATTATAGCTACCGAGATAAAGTCTCGGAGCCATGCTACGGACATTCTCGAGAAACTGTTTTTTTCATCCCGTCAGCCTATGGTCCCCGGGACATGTATATCCTCCCCTATGATTCTAATGCAAATGAACGACAACGAGGAATATACAAGGTCTTTCTGTATCGACCACCTGTTCGGAGGGCTGGTGAGGGGGTTTACTCACTTGATCCTTAGTTTCTGCAGCGAAACATTCAAGCAACGCATCTCTATCCCTAGATTTTCCTGTACCGGGTCCCCCACAATCTTCCCTTTCGAAATCCTGTACGAGCACCCGTCCTTCCTTCCGGCAATAATCCCACACTTTTTCAGGAGTTCGGTAAACCGTTTGGAGGTTTGGATGATAAATGCTGCCCCCGAATTCCACGTCGAGACATCGCATGTTTGTGGTTTCGAACCGTTTTCTGTCCACTCGACGGATGAGAGCATGGTAATGAATTCCTCCATCTGCGCAACGTTCCTGTCCAAGTACGAGGTGAAGACTACGTTGTCTGCAAGCGTCGATAATCGGTTCAGGCGGGAGATCGTCACAACGGAGGTACATGACCAGCTGGTATTTTGTACAGATTCTTCCGCGAGGAACGGGTCAGACAATTGTTCCGAGGTCAGGTGTTGCCACCAGCTGAGAACTCGGTTCGGGTTGCGTGGTGGACGACCAATCGATCGGAGTTGAGGTGGTGACGATGGTATCAGGGTCCCGTCCATCATGTTGAGGAGTACTTTCATGGCCTTGCCTTCCGCCTTCCGTTTCCTCCATTGGGTCGGCGTTGGTATTGGCGATGGTTTGTGTTCGAGGAGAGGTAGTTCGCTCATCTCGCTCGGTGTGTCGGGATTGGTTGAAGGGCATACAGAACATTCGCTATTATTTGCAATAGTAGGAGGAGGAGTCTCAGGAAGTATCGGGGAAGCATGGAGAGAGAGGTTTTGTGTTTTATCGATGGGAGTCATGGCGGTAGTGGTTTGATTGTTGGAACGAATCCTTCACAACGGCGGAAATGTGTCCCATTATATCCTAAACGAGGTATGTACCGCTCCCAATGGATGTCACATGCTCCCACTCCGAATATATTTAATATTATAGTCAGAGTGGGAGTGGTGGGACTCTACGCCAAGGTTTCCTCTTTTGGTTGTTTGTTGTGACAGGGGTCTGTGTGCGCATTTGCATCATAAATATTCACCACTCCCACTCTTCCCTGTTTTTTTTTTTTCTTTCGCGCACACACACACACATGCGCCTATGAGTCAACAAGACGAGAAGTTATATCAAACGTCACAGGGTGAATCGGCCCCATCTGTGAGTGAGTCATACCTACGTCAACATCATCTGGAGGTCTATCATATGCTCGAGGACATTCCATCGGATTCCGAATCGGAGGAGGGTATGAGGTATTATCGACGTCGTTTTTACGGTGTTTGTCGTCGTCGTTACCCTTTTCGTCGTCGGTACTATCGTCGCTATTAGAGAAAGATGCCCACAAGGCGTTTCCGCTATAAGGTGCGCGCTGCCGTAGCGCATCGCAAGCATGTAAATTGGCATAGCACCATCCTGAGAGGTCCCCTACCGTCCCCGGAGGATCAGAGTCACTATATCATCACAGCCCCCACTGTGGGCGACGATCGCAATTTCTTTCTCCCAACATGGCAAGTCATCCGACCGGGACATCATCGCTTAGGCAATGTCGGGGCCGCGGCGGACGCTATGATGTCCGAATTTGAGGAGCGCAAGCATCTACGTTATCATCCTATCATCAAGGTTCAGAAACTTTCCATCAATTTCCGTCTCACTTGGCGTTGCCCGATCTATATGCGCGTTATCTGTTTCTCCCAGCAGTCGTTGGCCGCTCCCAACTGGACGCTGTTCCATCGTCTCCTGACACCACCTAACAATACTCCGCCCCCCGCTCCCAATCTGGTGGGGGTCACGCCCATCGGTTACGCCGGTGCTGTCAACGCCCTGAAGCAGGTCGACGGTCCCCTATTGTACGACCAACAGGAATGCAACGGGGAATGGGTCGGATTCTCGGCCAAGAACAAACGTCACTATCGCTGGATACTGTACGATACTGGTCTCAAGCTCTTGAGGTGTGCGCCCGGTATGTCCGTTAAGGAGAGGTCGTTCAGTTTCAAGTGCCGACCTAGACGTTACATCGTGTTTGATCAACGCCCCACCCTTGAGCAGAACTCTGCGAAGCCCATGTATCAGGAGGCGCCCGTCTGGTGGGTAGGATTCTATACTCCTTCCCTCAGTACCACGGATAGGACCCCGTTCTCCGCGGTTGAGACCGAGGCCGATGGCAACATCTACGATCAGGGTTATGATGAGGATGACGGTGTTGATGCTCCTAAGGGCGTACTCGCGAAGATTCATAGATTTCACGGCTTCGTCGGCTGGACCGAGATGCCTTTTTAGATAGACCAATAAAACTTTTGCTTTTGCTTCTCTCCTGAAAGGCAAGTGAGTCTTAGCATTGTCAATGATCAAAAATACCTCTTCCTCTCCAACATGCTCCTTGATATCCTCCCATATCCCTGGAAAGTCATATTGATCATAAACATCAATAATTGACTTTCCAGTCACTCCACCTCCAGCAGAAGTAGGATCAGGAAAAACAGGTAAAAAAAGACCATGAGTTTGACCATAGAAACAACCAGTCATCATCTGACTAATCTTTCTCTCTCCTTTCCTAGCAGTAGGTTCAACACAATCCTTATCCCACTTTTCTTTTGGCTATCTAAATACCCATTTTCTTCTCTTTCCTCCTCCCCTCTCCACAGCTACCTCATCCCCCTATATTGTCTTCCTTCTCCACATCTGTCTTGTCCAATTCAGATGGGCTAATGCCCATTCCAATCTCTTTTGAGCTAGATCCTCATCCAAATGAACCCTCTCTTGTGCCATCCACTTTTTAAGAAGCTTTTATGCAAGTCTTCTCTTCACAGTCTTAGCAGAAACATTGGAAGCCACTCTCTCAGCAATCTCAGAGTAGCTGGTATGGCAATTTTTAAGAGCTTCCTCTACCATAGCATCATCCTGCAACTTGGTAGTTTTAGGATGTCTTCCTCTACCTTCATTCTCCTTGCCCTCTTGATCTCTCTTTGCAAATGTGCTTTTAACAGTACTGAGAGGAATGTCAAGGTAGTGGGAAATTTGGTGATTTATCATCTGAGACTTGTGTAACCTGAGAGTTTATCCTCTTGTAAACTCAGAAAGGTGCTTGGAGGGAATAGGCTGTTTGGCATGACTGCGAAGAATAGGAGGCATAGTTTATTGAAACAAAATTTAAGTAAATTGGTTTGGTTTTGGTTGGTGTAGAGCAATTTCTTTAGGAAGTATTGAGGGAGCGAGGTGATGAGGAGGGGAGCGTTGCCATTGCCGTTGAGAGCTAGTTAATTTTGTCCTTGGACAATAGAGTACCAGAGGGTTGGTCATGTGGTATCACTCTCCTC